TTACGAGGCCAAGGGCGCCCTGTCTGATCTGCGGCACTTCACCGAGATGGACCACGATCCGTCCTGCACGCAACCGCTCAACCAGTCTGATGGCCCAGAATCGCTTCGGCCACCTTCTTGTAAGATTTTCGTTGACTTACAACGCATGTCTAAATGACCATTTTGAAAATTATACCGCGGGCAGCTGCCAGAGTAAGTCCAAACCGCAAAAATCGTCAATACGTAAGTTAGATATAGTATATAAGCAAGATGAAGCAACAGGACATACATGCGCGTACTCCGACACCAGCACATGAGCGCACATGACCTCATGATGGGGGGGGGGCACCGGGCACCTGGCACTGCACCACTCCGAAAGGTCTCCGTGCACGCTGGGAGCTGCTGCAGACAATCGGACACAGGAAGCCATCAGGGACATTGGAGCCTCGGATCTCACATAATAACTCATCGACTGGGAGTTAGCAGTTGATGCCTCTGTATGACTGTAGTGACGTGGAACTGATGCTCGTCGGATTTTGCTTCAGGCAGAAAAAAACTGGCAATATGAATGACAACAGTTACTCGAATGCTTCTAGTTCGGGCATCTTGAACTCACCGTGAGCAAATTCTGAAATGCGGGTTTGCGAAGCCCAGATACAAGCCTGTAGCACCTTGCCACGACAGTCTACTCCACACTAAATTCCGCGCACGACAACAACATACAACAACACTCTTCCAAGGGCGAGGGGCCAAACCGTCAACCACTAAATTGACCAAGTCCAAAAAGAAATAGCATAGCATCTTGCAAGGGTGCAGAAAGCTTGGACGCTGTCAGTTTTGATGTCGGACTTCCGCTTCTTTGAGACCGGAGGTGTCGTGCCTCACAGACTGGAGCTCCCGACGACGATCGCAAGATCAGCAGAACTTCTGCAAAGGCGCAACCGCTCCCTGCACCGGCAGGGGCGAGATGGAACCACCACCATCGACCCGCGAGGCCCACTGAGCAAGGATACATCTCCTTAGAGCACATCTCATCTTCGACCGGAAGAGCACTGGCAACTCTCTCCACCCGGGCTTGTGCACTCGCCGGATCTGACCCCTTCCCCGGGAACCCCCAGCACTGCTCGTCTGACATAGCAACTTCGTCCTTCCAAGGGGCACGCGCAGTCCTGCACAGCTCTTGAGGTCAGCAGGGTCTTCAGACATATCAATGCGCAGCTGATTGTGACGAAACGGCACTGCCTACTGACTTGCTGCGCGAAGGTGTGATTGTCTAGGTCCCGTCGGTTATGTGGTTCTGCACAGCTGTCACCTGCCTGGCCGTGTCCAGCACGCGTCATTTTTGCACTTGCAGACGTACCCGGCACAGTCGCGCTTGGCACATTCCCAGCGATAAAGCTTGGCAGTTCCAGCTGGCACACTCGCTTGACCCCCCACAGCAGCCCTCAAGACCTCCTGGTTCAACAGCCAACAGTTGTCACACACTTCGTGGCCTGCCCGCTGCCGGCAAGTCGGGACACGGCTCCATTGGCAATGGTCCATCCTGCCGCGAAGCTGCGAGATTTTGCGAAGATTTCCGAAGCCTATGTTGCAGCCAGCGCCAGGCTGCTGCGAGCTTGCGGCCTGTGTCTGCTTTACTGGTCTTCGGTGACCACCCTGATTCAACGCGAAGATGTGCGGTCCGGATCTTGGCCCAAAGCCAACCAGCCAGGTGCCATGTCATCGATGGGCACCACCCAGAAGCTCCGCACCAAGCCTTGCAGGCCGGGTCGAGGCGTTTCAGCAACACCCTCCCAGCCTCCCAGCTTCGCTTGCAACGTCCCTCACTACTCGGAAGACCGGAGTTCGGAAAGCCTGCAGCTGTGGAAGGCACGAGGTTCGTAGAGGCATCGTTTGTCTCACCCACGGCGACGAGATGGAAATTGCCTCCGGTCTCCTGGCGAACACGCGACATGAAAGTCTGTTGCACAGAAGTGTGCCTGCACCATAACCCGTACCTCACGCTGAAATGGGTACACCGTTGCGCCATATACCCCCAACGCTGGCGGCTCTCCCAGTCCCAAAAGAAGAAAGCGCCACGCCAAGTCTCAGAGTCCAAAGGCTCGATGTCCGGGTAGCGCTTGTAACAGGTGATCTTCGAGTTCTGATCCCCGATGAGTCGGCCCTTGGCCTCGCCAAAGCCTGCTCTTTTTTTCTGGTGGTACGTTGGATGCATACATGTGTACGTAGAACAGATGTCTATGCATATTTTCGTGAGTGAAAACAGGAATGCATGTTTGCATACATCGTTGCCCAAAATCAAGGCGGCACAATGCTGCAAGTGCTGTTTTTCCTCGCGAAACAGAATGCTTGCAATCAGCTAGTGGCTGCTCCCACTAACACGCCGAGGCACTGCAGGCATCGGTGATTGCCTGGGCCTCAGCGTACATTTCGGAAGCGTACAGCTTCTTGAGTTGAGGTGGTGTGGAAGATAGGCTACTCAGCAACTGTTGCGAAAGCAGGTTGAGTAGCACCGGGACTTGTGATCGGGCTGTGTTGTGACTTGGAGCGGTGCCTAGTCTTCCTTGTGTGCAGCTCCAGACTTAGTTTTCTTGCGACGGGCGAAGTCTTGCCGAGAAACTACTGGTGAAAGGCCGTGATTGCACTGTAGCAGGCATTGCAGGAGGCATTGGTTGAGTTGAATTTCACTCAGAGTTGGCCATAGCACCAACTGAAACGAGAACACCAGTGGCTTCAGATTTCGTTTGCAGTTTGTCGCTGCTGCGCCCGCTTCCACCCAAATCTGTTGCCGGAAGGCCTGTCCAGCATCTTCAGTAAACTGAAAGCCCTTGCCGATGGCTATACCCGGTATGGAAGATAGGCAGTAGACAGAACCAGACAAACAGCAAGCTTAGATAGACAGCCGGATAGAGATGGATTCGAGAGAGAAGTAGATCGATAGGTAGGTTCGTTGAGGAGACGGATAACTAGATGGATAGACAAACAAAGAGACAGATGGAGATATTTCATACTTGTACAGGGCCCCCTGTCAAAAACAAGAGGGACCCCGAGTTGCTTCTGTGGCCGGGTCGCCCACTGCGAGGAAGTCGTGCGTGAGGGATCGATTGGCTGAGCTGGCGCGCACTGCACTTCGAAGCCTTGCGTCGTCTCCAAGCCTGGCAAAGACCCCCCCAAAAAAAACGGTTTTGTGTGTGAAGATGTGGCGAACATGGTTTTTTTTCCTAAGGGCGCCCAAAAGAGGATTCGATGCGTTGCAATCACTCGCCTGCCAAGTTTTCAGCACGCAGAAGCCCCTCTCTGCTGCGCCTGCGGGGCTGCGTACTTTGACGCCGCCAGCAAGTGGCTCGGAAGGTGCCGCGCGGGATCCGAAGTACAAGGTCACCTGAGGTCCCACCGGACATCGACTTGAATACTGCAAGTCGGGGTAACGAAACACTGAAACACCATGTCTTCCTAGAGGCGTGATTAAACTGGTGATGGTGTTCGGCCGAAAGAGTAGCTCAAGCAAAGCTGCGCGACCAGGGATTGTCGGGGAGATGCCCGAGCAGACCAACCTCAGAGAATCATTAGTACACTGTTTGGATGCATGGTGCCCTGGCACACGGACAGGGCACGAGTCTTAGGGCACATCCGCCAAGATGAAGACGACTGCCTATTGCAGAACTTGCAGCCTACGACCACGGCAGAAGCAGGACCTCTGATCGGTCATTCAACATACATGCTGCCGAACTCAGAAAACACAGTTCTCTCACAAATCGGTAGAACCCCACCAAGACCTTCAGCTCAACCATGTGCTAGCCTTTCTTCGACAACTGACCCCCAAGGCTTCGCCTGCCCAGTCACGAAAGCTGGCCTTGCAGTTCCACCAGCTGAGCAAAGAGGAAGAACGTGTGAAGCATTGGCACACGTACTCCGAGTAGCCCATGGCGCATGGTGACTTCAACAGGACCGACCGCCACGTGTTCTCACTTTTCAGCTTGGAACGTCCTATAAAGGTGTCGGTACAAACACAACCAAAAAAAGGTCCTGATAAGCCATTGAGGCAGACATGTTCCTGTGCAGCAGTCTCCACACATCCAAAGCACCTCCAAGGTGCACACAGACACGGAGCAAACCGAACTCTCATCGGCATAACTCACAAACTTGTCGGGTGTTTGGAGGCTTGTTTCCTGAGCCGCTTGGAATCTACATGACTTCGTACCGAATTCCCAAGCTGACTCTTTCTCTGCGTTGGGACTGCACATTGGCAATTTCGGAAATCTGGGGCTCCTCCGTCCACGAACGAGACCGTGGACAGTGCTGACACAGCCGGCTTTATCGGGTGCTTGGTTGCTTGACATAGGCACGGTGAACGTTTCTGTATTCGGTGATTCATCCGACTTTATATGACTCTCGTCTCTTCCTGCTCGTCCAGCTTTGGGATCCGTCAGGATTGGGCAAGTCGAAAGCAAAACACAATGTATAGTCCCCCTGAAGTAGATAGAATATGGCTTTGGGTATATTAGAATAAGATCCCCATATACCCCATATTCTATCTACTCAAGCGGGGCCATAGGCCTAGGGAAGGAAAAGGAAGCAAGAGATCGAAGCCTCACTGCCAATCCTGAATACAAACCAAGTCCGTTAGAGATCTGCTCCTTCCCTGCCCACACCTGCTGAATCCCTCTTTATTGGGGTTATATGGGGATAGTGGAAAAGAAAATGGAAAGTACCATAATATAATAGGGTATATATAGGGGATATAATCCACTTCACGGTTCCCAGTTCAGATCTCACAGCACTCAATCGCCTGCTGCTCAATCTCACGGCGCTTCTGGGCAATGGCCTCTTCCAAGGCAGCCTTAGCGTCAGCTGCTTCTTTGAGGGCGCCACTTGGATGGGATGCTTCATCTCTCGGCCATCATACCTTTTTTACCTTTCAGCTTCCTTTCAGCTCGAGCATTCATGCACCAGCAAGCACGCCTTTTGCGTTGCTGTCCCGTGCACTGGGCCTGTCCCCTGCTTTGTGGGAGATTTAGCGGTTATGAACATCCACATGCAAGGCAAGGCCGTGATGACTTCTGACCGGCTTCATCGGCACCTTCGTCCTGATAAGGTGCCAAAAGCTGCCTCTCACGCAACTCCTTTGCCCCGGTGTCGCACCTGTCCCGGGCTCCTGTCAAGAACACATAGAGGCTGCCGAAGAGCGGCGGTCCCACAAGGGCGCCGAGAGCCACAAGGATGCTTGTCCGTAGAGGGTAGCGCCAATCAAGCGGCTCATAGATGGGGCACTCATTCAAAGGAGCAGGTTCACAAGGCTCACGTTCAGGGCGACCAATCTTTGCGAAGAAATGGATCAATGTCCAAACGGTATATGTCCAGCCCACAAGGGCAATCCAACCGATCTTTCGGATGGAGAAGGGGAAGCGGCTGAGGAAGAAAGTCAAATGGAGCAAGATCACGTCCCCACCGTGCACGAAAAGACTCACATATGGAACCCCTGGTGGCGGGAAGGGCTGCGTTGCATAATACAGAATGGTAGACAGGACGGAAGCTGGCATCAGCGCGCAGAACAACGCTATCACGACCTTCACCATGAACGGGACGGGATCTGACGGGGCGTTGACCCCGAGCCGCTTTGCCGCCCACAAGGTCACAACGAAGTACAGGATTTCCTCGATCACTTCCAAAGTAGTGATCCAGCGCGACAAGTAGATCCAGTACAACACTCCGTCTTGTGGCCACCACTTGACGAAGTGCACGAGGGCATGTCCTATCAAGACCACAGCCACGATGCCACGATAGATGACCAAAGCCTTGGTGCTCATGTATGGAGATGTTGCGAAAGCTTTTGGCCAGTCCCCAGGCTCCCAGGGCAAAACATCCACAGACAGTCCCAATCTGTCCATGGCAGCAGCCTAGAAGAAAGCCACACTTTGACTGGAGGGCTTCGAGGAAAAGGGGCTGCAAGTAGATAAAACGTAAGGTCTGTGGATACCTTGGGTATTTCCCCCTGACAGTAACAGTTTGACTAGCCATGGCGGAATTTGCGATCGCCGATGTTTGCTGGGTGCGCTAGTGTTCGCCGAACCTGACCGTGCTCCCAAAACAACGCATTTCCAAATGTTCCAGTCTGTGTAGCCTACCTGAAGATGGAGAGTCCAAGCTGGATTGGCAGGTCATAGGGAGATACCATGCGTTGGTGCTGCCCGACTCTGAATCTGTGGAAATCAGAAACGGGCTGAAGGAAAGATTGGACAGCTGAGCTGAGTAGTCACCGCCTGTGCTATCACATTCCTTATAACGATGCACAAAGCCGAAGCCTCACTGTGTGAGAATCTGCACAAACATCCCGGGAGAGAGTGGAACGCTGTTCAGACGCCGCTCATACCAAATTGTCGCATTGGGCCCTGGCCCGATTGTCCGGCGAGAAGGTCATCACGGACCTGCAGCAATGAGTCAGACTCGTCACTCACTGTTGAGCGATTCGCCAACTGCATGCTTTTCGATGGCCACCACACAACACTCCTTTTGGGGTGAGGGATCAACAAAAGAATTAAATCAGGATCAAAAAAATCCAGGATCAAAAAAATTAAATGTAGTAAAACCAATAGGAAAATGAGGCGGTAGGGATCAAAAAAAAGTTAGATAAGGATCAAACCATTAAACTACTAGCCGTAGTAATACTGGTAGTAGTAGTCGTCGTCGTCGTCGTCGTCGTCATCGTCGTTGTCCTCGTAGCAGTAGCAGTAGCCTGTGGCAGATTGAAACTTTCTGGATTTAACTGTTCGGGGTTTTGATGTCGGCACTTCGATGTTTGGGCTTTGGGAGCTGAGGTTTATGGCTTGAAACTTGGGATTTACAAGGTGGGTTGGGCAGTTGTGAAACCGTAACACCTCTTCACGGCTTTCGAAACAACACACTGCGTCTCCGTTTTCGTGCCATGCTAGCCGTGTTTTTCGTGCTCAGGAGTGGGGGCGTCTACCGCTACTTCAGCACTCGCACTCGGACAAGCCTGGGCGAGGGTTCTGGTATGTGGCACAAGCGCATCTACCACTACTTAGGGCAGCACGTTTAGCCCCCCAACAACTATTGCTACTACTACTTTACTACCGCTACTACTGCTACTACGACTACTACTACGACTGCTGTACTGCACTATTACTACTGCCACTACCACTACTGCTGCTCCTGCTACCATTGCTACTACTACGACGACGACGACGACTGCGACGACGACTACGACTACGACGACGACTACGACTACGACGACTACGACTACGACGACTACGACGACGACGACGACTGCTACTACTACTTTCTACTTCTTTGACCACGAGTACTACACCACCAACAACGCCAACCACCCCAACAACCAGCAGGCAATTCATTCCTTTCAAGGCCAGTGCCGGCAAATGTCTGAGCTCTGGCACGTCTGAGGCAAAGACAATCTTGGCCCTTGGCCCAAGGTCCGATGGGGCAGCTGGAGTAGTGATGGAGTCCTGGGCGACGACCAGCTCAAACATGCGGTGCAGCAAAGCGCTTCTAACTCTGAGTCATGAGAACAGCTCAAGGAGCATGCGTCACAGAAGCACGGCATGCTTGATGCACCGTTTTGTTTAAGATGCGGCCGCTGAACCGCTGCAAACCCTGCAAGCCAAACACAACAAACGGGGCAGTGTAGCTCTTTTGCCTTTTGGCACGTCAATAGCTTGCGCAGAGCCTCTCACCAACGCGCGCACTTCTGGCGCTTCTGTGTCTGAAATCGCCAGTCCCTGGTCAACTTCTTCGGAGGAGGAAGCTTCCGGGCAGCGTTTCGGACCTCCGGTTCATTCAGGAACTGTCTCGCCACCTCCCGCTCTGCATCCCTCTGCTTCTCCCAAAGGTCGCGGCTCCTGTAGACGGTGTCGTTGAAGCATGGCACTCGGAGCTCAGAAGACCACAGGTCACCTTCCCCCTTCGAGCTCTCGTATACCCAATCTTGCAGTCGCGTGGGCTCCACCCCGAAGTACCGTGTCAAAAAATTCTTCAGCACGGTCTTGGGATCTTCGGCGGTGAGATCCAGCCTTGCCAGGTAGTGTCGTGCCCCGAGGGTGCATGCACTGGTGGCGGGGTTGGTTCTTGCCATTGTACATCCTGCACTCCATGCCCCTCGCCATGCTCGTCATCCTTGGCTTTCTTCCAAGAGCCGTCCGAGCTCTGCCAGCTATGCCAGTCCCAGCTCTGCCAGTCCCAGCTCTCGGCTTTGGCCTCCTTCTGCCAGTCCCAGCTCTGCCACTCCCAGCTCTCGGTTTTGGCCTCCTCCTTCTTGACCACTACCTCGCGTTTGATTGTATTTGCAGCCTAGAGAGGATTAACAAAGTCTGAAGTACTTGGACCCCAGGGTCAATCAGCCTCAAAGCCTCTTCTACTTCTAAGGCCACCGCAGTAGACATGGCCAAACCCTGCATTGTAAGAATCCGGCTGAAACACCGCGAATCATTTTCAGGAAAGTCGCATTCGTGGAGGCCATCACAAAGTCTCTTGCAACAGTGGAATCTTGAGCCGCTCAGCCACCACGATTCAGGCTGCTGGTTTAGCGTTTATAGAGTAGCATGTTTACCTTTACTTTAGGATGTATCAACTTTCTTTTGGCCCGGATACGTCCGGAAATGGTGACAATGGCACGGTAAGACTTCTAAAGGACATGGTCATAACACCCATAGACTCCGAGTATTGAGTATACCGAAAATACCAAGTCAGAACCCTCACTCCGAGGAACGGAAGTCTTCAAACAGTACCTTTGTGGGGCTATTTGGAGTGTTAGGGTAAGGTCACCTAGAAAACCGAGTTGCGCTAGCCAAGTCTCATGCAGGAAGCTCGTTCAAACCTGAACCCTGACATGACATCCTTTGGGTTGTTGACCTTGGCTTTAGGGTGTAGGGTTTAGAGTTAACTTTGGGTCTAAGGTTTGAGGTTTAGGGTTAACCTTGGGCTTAAAGGTTAGGGTTTAAGGTTATCGAAGTCTTCAGCATCGACAGCCATTCTACTCTGAACCCTGGCCCCACATCCGAAAGCCTCAAGCCCCAAACCCCACGACTCGATTACCGGAAGTCCTTATCTCGAACTCTTGCGTTCCCCCGGAGTACAGCGCAAGACTGATGATGTATCAGGTGTATCAGGCTCAGGCTTCATGATTCAAGGGTTCAACAGTTGTATACTACGAGTGGGCCATGGGGTGATTTCAGCACTCAGCTCCTTTACCCGCCCGCAGAGAAAGTCTGCCGAGGGTAAATTTAAAGATAGTACGTGGCTGTTGGGGGCATTGCTGGGAGCAACAAGCGCGAGGTCTGGCAGCTAGCAGACAACCCGTTCACAACTACTGCTCCCCCGACTTTTCCGCACTGGGCCCCGCACTCCCGCCCACAAATCCTCGACGACCCCGTTCTTTCCTGCTTGTACGACAAAAGAAGGTGCTTTCTGTACAACAGCGCATGCCACTGAAGATCTTCACAACAAGGAGAAATCTTGCTCAAGCACCAGCTCGACAAGCAAGCGTCGGCGGACGTGCGTTCACAAGTAAGGTTCCTTCAGAAGCTTCACCGGTCGCTAGCAGCTCGATGGTCCCGCTGCCAGCCTCGCCAAAATGCTTGCGCCCAGCCGCTACTCACAAACAGACGCTGCAAGCAAAAGAGGCGCGGGTCGATCCTGAACGTCCTCCTTCAATGTGAAGCAGATGTTGACCTCAGCACCAACCTCAGAAGGCACCAGCCCAGTTGGACGGCGTGTCTCTCTCTCTTCTAGGGCCACTGCTCCGAAAGCATCGTGTGGAGGATGTGCGGCAAGGAGACGGGGTGCCTCCGAAGTGGATGACGTGGTCCATCTTGGTTGCCACTACGTCTGAGTACCTCGATTCAAACGCCGGTGCAAGGGGATCGTGCTCTGCATGACCGCATGCTCCAGGGTGCGGAGCGCACGAGATAAGAAACTTTGTGTTTCCCGACCGCTCCAATGGAAAGATTGTTGTGAAAGGTCTCAGTCGGAGGGCAAGACGACAGGATCCCTACCCTTGAGATCGCCAAGTTAAAGTGACAGCGGGCGTACCGAGTTCTAAGCAAGAATCCCATCATCTCTGCTCCCCACTAAAGCTATGATTGTAAGGCCGCTTTATATCAATTCCTCTAAGCTGCTAGCTTCTGCTTGCCTGTATTCTACTGGTACTGTTCTTGCTACTGTTGCTGCCAGTATTGTGACTGCTCTCTTGACAAGTGTCAACGGTGTCTGAACTGCATAATCAGTGCTGCTCCCGTCTGATGATAGGAAACCACCACGTCTGGAAGAATCTGCGTGCGCCTTGACCTCTTTGGAATGCGGCTTCTCTTCTACACTTACGCGTTTCGTCGGTGGCGGGTCGGATGGTTACAATGCACATTATGCAGAATCAGAGTTGGAGAATCGGTTGATCTAGAACCCGTCCTTCAGCCATCGCCTGGTCTCCCCGTGCAATATATTCTCGTAGGCAGGAAATCGTTGAAGTTGTCTCTGCCGGGTTCTTTCGCTAGGAGTGTTCTCTTTAATCTTTGCTTGCAGGCTTCTTGCTTTCGCCCACTGCTGCGGTTCGGCTTTTTCTAAACCCTAAGCGCTCCTCAACCCTGAGCAAAATGCCAAGACTCTGAGAACACTCTCTTTAGAATGAAGCCGAGACGGCAGCCAGTTACACGCTAGAAGAGAATATACTCACGCGCGCGATGGCCGGGCTGCGAGTATAGGAAGGATGCCTTGAGTTGGTCGAGCTGCAAGATGCGAGAGATGTGGCCAAAGCTCCCTAGCCATTCCTGCACTTACTGCTCGAAGCCCTCACATCACCAGAGCTGGGGGGCTTTTTCTTCAAGCTGAACTTCTCCAGTGCTCCGTGTGCCGCGAGCTATCTTTGGCTCGATCACTTTGGGCACCAGCTGGGCACTCAGAAGATGTGGTCTCTGCGGTGCAGGTTTTCGCGAAACTCCTCAGATGCACGGTGGTCGATTGCAGAGTCCCATCGAAGGCGCTGTTGCCCGCGGCGGCGATCCTAACTGCAGCTGGGAAGCAGAAGGATTCGACGCCGTCAGCTCACGGAGAAGGCCCTTGCAGGTGATTTCCCATATCCCCGTATAAGTCATGTTCGCTTTGAGGTTTCCTGTGCTAAGCCAATTCTTTCAGCACCCTCTCGCACAGACTCGGCTTCGTCTGCCATGGCCACCACACTTGGAGTTGACGAAAGGCGAGCTTGGCGGGCGATTGAACCGGTCGCTGCAGATCCACGCCCCTTGCCCCTTGATTCATCTACTTTCCAGTTGCTCTCGATATGCATCAACATCAACATTTCGCCACAGTCTCCATCTGTTTCTGTTTATACCTGTATCGGTACTCCATTATATGCTTGCACACATGCACATATGTGTATGTACAAATGAAACTCCATAGCCCATATGCTGCAGGGCAAAGCTACTGGTGAGCAGGGCCTCCCAACCGACCTCCCTCGACAAGGTCGGTACTTTGCAAGCACACATATACAGATAGACAGATGGACGGATAGACAGACAGACGGATAGACGCAGATGCAGCGATGGTGATAGATAGATACATAGATATAGATATAAATATAGATATAGATGTAGATATAGATGTAGAGATGATATAGATGTAGATGTAGATGGGTAGTATAGATAGAGAGAAAGAGAGATCGGATAGATGAACAGACAGATGTAGATAGGTAGATGAGTGGATAGATAGAAAGAAAGAGAGATAGATGGATAGATAAATAGATAGATTGATTGATTTGAAGCACAGGTAGCTTGATTGATTGATTGATTGATCGATTGGTTGATTGATTGATTGATGGATATGTATGTATGATGCATGTGTGCGTGTGTCCCTAAACTATACAGTTAGAGAGCTCGACATGTACATTGTAACTGTTGCAGTAACCAATACAAACGCACGTACGACTTACTTGACCCCATAGTCGTCTGTTGTCAGTGTCCTGACAGCTCTTCCCGACCTCCGTGCCTCTGCGGACTCGGCTCGAGGCAGCGTGCAGCGCAGGCGCAGCGCCAGGCCCGGCGGGGTTTGGCTTCGTGCAGCCGAGGAAGGAGGCTCTCCGTCGGCCCTGCAGCCGCTTGAGAGCTTCAAGCACTGTCACGAGAGCCGGGATGATGCCGATTCAGTTTCAACCTGCACCTGCAGCATCCCATGCAAATCAGAAAGCCCAAATTACAAACACAAAAAACATCGAAACGAATGCGCGACGTTGCGGCATCCCTCGCCCAATTTGCGATGCAAAACCCAGCGCAGGTCGAAAGAATGGGCCTTCGACAGCCACAGAGGTCGGAACACTTTGAGGGCCTTTGCATTGTCTGCGCCCCAAAACACGCGCAGAATCTTATCGCGTTGTGCTGTCTCTGGCCCAAACTGCAGCACCTGGGCGTTTGCCAATTGTATCGACCGCCGCCGGCAAGCGAACGAGGCGCAGCCAGTCGTGCATGGATGCCGCTTCGAGCATCACTGCCAGCCGACCCACGACCGAGCGCGGTGATTGAGTGTCGTTCCACTGTCATTGGAGACCTGCCCTCCCTGGTCTTCGACGTCGCCGTCTTTGTGTTCTGTGCCCAGTTTGGCTGGATGCTGTTACCCCTCCACGACTCAAACATCAACACCAAAGCGTTCAATCACTGTTTTCAGCGTGCCAAGAAATGGTTTTACAGGCTTTCGGGCTTTCGGTTTCAGAGGTCGGGCAAAGAAGGAGGTTGAGTGCCGCAAAAGCTGCGGCCAGGAGCGTCACATCAAAGAGGGGAAGAGGTTCAACAAAACGACGAGCCCTTGAGATTCCCCTGCTGCACCTGGCCGTGAGGCGCGCCAGGTCACAGTCGACCACGCCGCCGCCGGAGGACTCCACCACGTCCCAGCCCAAGTCCTGAAGCGCAACAAATACAAACTGCCCAGACTTTGCCAGGCCCCCAAACATCTCTTTGCGCAGCCATCGCTAGGACACGGCCTAGGAGCCGATGGGATACTGACGATTCGACGCACCCGTGGCAGGATCTTGGAGACGTCCAGGGGGAAGCAGTCTGCGGGAGCGTCCTTATAAGAACTGCGATGCAGACAGTATATCTCTGACAGAGGAGAGGAAGGCACCTCGTCAGGCACTAATTCCTGGAGCTCCGCCTCCATGGCCAGCCTAGCAGAAGAGACTGAGGAAGATCCTGAACCGAATCAAAGACTGAGTCTGATGGCAGCAGAGGTGCCGCTGGCCGCCCTGAAGGAGTGGCTCTCCGGGCCTCTTGTGGGAGCGTGCCCACACTGACGCACAGCACACAAAAAGAACCAATTCGTGCAGCCATGGGTAGACAAATCGAGCGCGTGCGAGGAGGTGGCTGCCACATGACACGTGACAAAGAGGAGCCTCTTGCACGTGCCCTGAGGCAAAACTCAGCTGCCGGACCTGGGAAGTGGAAGGATGAGGTCGCTCAGCTGCCATTGGCCTCCAAACTGGTTGTTGCGTGATAGTACGAGCAGTGGCGGCTGCACTACATCGTGGCAGTCGTCGGTGTAGCTGTAGTAGCCGTAAGTAGCCCAGCAGAAGCAGCAGCAGCATGAGCATTATAGTCGTGATGGTGGCGTAGTTGTGGAAGCAAATTGATGGAGGACTGGCAGTGCCAGCTTGTCGCCAACAATCACACAGCGCTCGCCTGTGCGCAGATCCTGATGTGACAGCGGTCTCGGCTCGCCCGCGTTCCTGGGTTGGGCCACACCGGATGCCCTTTCCAGTGAGGTGCAGAGTGCAGCGCTCATGATGTCTCTGACTTAAGGAGCAGATCGAGATGTAAAGCGCTCTCACTCGGTGCGGAAGCTCAGGTCATCAAAATCTCCCGTTGCCTGTACTGCTCCTGTCACATTCCGAGATTTCTCAAGCTGTTGCCCGATCCCACAGAGAGATGCTGGCTCACGGATCTCAGCCTGGTTCTTCCAAGCGGCTGGTCCCAAACCAAATCTCCCAGCATTGGTTGGTGGGCCTGCCGGCTACCAGCGGCTGGACATCCCCACCACGATGTGCCAGTGCCACCCAGTTGCGAGCTCGCTCAGCCGCGCAGCCACTGCACGATTCCAGCAGACCCGACCCACCTGGGCGCCGTGGGTGCCGCGAAACCAAACGCAAATTCAGGGCTTCCGTGCATTCAAAGTGGAAGAGCATGGACATGCGCTTAGGATAATCGTTGTCGGTCCGGCTTTGTTTTCACGAACTTCTGAACTTCTCGAGCACGGACGAGGTTCGATGCAGATCGAGATACTCCCAGAACAGTGTCCATCCCTTCTCTTGACTCTTGACTTGCAGATTAGATGTCGGGAAACGGGCCAAGTCAAAACATCATTTGTTAAGCGGCTAAAGACACAGGGCACACTTCCGATGTGCTGGTTGACCTCGAGGGTTCGCCACATGAGACTTGGCAAACGCAGGCTCCATCACTAACGTAGCGCGACGATGTAAACCTGCAACACATGACATCACTCAAACCAAATTTTGAATAGTCCCGGAAGGCGAGTAGAGAGCGACATAGAAAGTAGACATCCCCGCTTCGCCGCCACCAACCCAACCCCTTGCCAGCAGCAACAACAACCACAAGCACCACCAACAACAACAACAACAGCAGCAACACCAGCAACACCAACAACATAAACAACACCAACAACACCGCCACCACCGCCACCACCACCACCACCACCACCGCCACCACCGCTGCCGCCACCACGACCAACAACAATAACACTTGCACTTACACTAACAGAAACACTAACCCTAATGACAACACTAACACCAAAACTAACACTACACTGAGCCTGCTCAACACCCACCCTACCACCTCTATAACTATAGGGCTATGCTGCAAAGCCTACGCGACGCTGGGTCAGTCGCCCTACCACCTGTATAAGGCTACCCACCGTCTAGTTCATTCGCTACGCGGCGCTGGGTAAAGACACTAAGTATGCTATCTTTCTATATACCTACCAGCTGCGACAGCTACGAGCTTCGGCCTACGCGGCGCTGGGTCAGCGGCACGTACACGCTACCTACTAAGCCGACCCAGGCCTCTACTCTAAACGCTGAGACCCAGAACGAAAGGACCCACAAAGAACCGATTCAAGCTGAGCCTGCCAAGTGTTGAACAGGACGAGGACATCGAATACAAAACACATGCCCTGGCCCTAGCAGAGGGTCTCAAGTCAAGGCAGGGAGTCAAAGGCAAAGATGCTCGTGTGAGGGGTCACGCTGCGGGCGCCTCGCCGCCGCTCTCCCCACACATGTACACACTCACATTGACATGCAATTACGAGTGAAGGCACAACAGCAACAAGGACGAGGGAAGTCAGGAAGCGAAAGAAGGCGTCGAAACAGTCGGAATTCGCAGTTTCCCGCCAGCATCTTTGGTGGCGCCGACGCTTGGCCTACTCGTCCTCAAGCCTCTGCAAGTAGTGGCCGAATCACGTCGCTTCCTGAACCGCAGTTTCCTGGATTGCGTGGTTGCTAACAGGGCTGTCGCAATTACGTACTTACATTTTGGACTCCACTCAGGCGCCGGCCGTCGCCAACAGTTTGCCCCAAAGCACGGCGGGCAGTGCCCGCCGCAGCGCTTCCAAGGGATCCCTGACCGTCAAGCGGAGTCTGAAGTGGCAACCACATCACCGAAGCTTAGGCGCTGGGCCCCACGCTTTTTGAGGAGCAAGTGCATGGCCAGGGCCCGGAGCCCTTTGCAGCTCCTATCTGTGGGAAGCCTCAGAGCTCAACGAGCTCCGCTTGACATGCACGGAGCGGGGATTCGCGGAGGGCCCGGGCATCTCCAGGCCTTGCGCATACTCCCTCGCGGCGAAGGCGGCAGAAGCAGCGGCGAGAGCCGAGGCACCTGGCAACCCTCAACAGTCCCCGCTCCAGCTGGGCCGACTCCGCACCTCTGTTGGAAGTGAGGAGGAGTTGACAGGCTCGGTCCCAATGTCCGCACCACAAGGCCGCACCGATCTCGTACCTCGGGGCTTTCGCCGACATCGCAGAACGGAGCCAAGCCTAAACCGCCTGGAAAACCTACCAGACACACCAGACCAAAATACCAGCAGTTTTTCGCAGGTGTTTCTTTCACAACATGCTCCGGACTGCACCGGGCCAAACGGCTCAGAGTAGACCGTTGTGGCGCAAGAGGGCATCGACGGTCGCATCCTTACCACGGAAGTCACGGTAGACCTTGCTCGGATGCCTGCCGCCGCCACAGCCCAGCACGGTGTCTCGAAAGCGGCGTCCGACGGAGCGCAGGGCCTCCTCGTCCTCAAGGCCAGCCTCCTCAAATGCAGCGAAAGCATCCGCTGAGAGAACCTCGGCCCATTTGTAGGAGTAGTACCCGGCCGCATAGCCCCCGGCAAAGATGTGCTTGAATGAGCACAAGAAGCGGTCTTCTTCCAATGGCGGCAGGATCTGATACTTGTCGGCCACGCGCCGCTGCACATTCAAGAATGTGTCTGGCCCCTCTGGATCGAACTCAGAGTGGAGCTTCATATCAAGATCACCAAGCTGCAGCTGCCGAAGCATCATGGAAGCGGCCATGAAAATGCGGCTGCCTTTGATCTTCTCGAAAACGTCTGAAGGAAGCGGTTCTCCCGTCTCGAAGTGCACCGCAAAAGAGTCCACAGTCGGCTTGTGGTACAGCCAGTTCGCCATGAATTGCGAGGGAAGCTCCACCGCATCCCATTCGACGTTGTTGATGCCTGCACATTCACCATCCTCAACATGCGTCAGCATGTGCTGGAGACCGTGGCCGAACTCGTGGAACAGGGTCTCAGCCTCCGAGAACGTCATCAAAGATGGCTTTGTGCCCACTGGCGGCGAGCCATTGCAGTTCAAGTAGGCCACCGGCTTCGTTCCCACGGCCTTGGAGCGCCCCAAGCAATCATCCATCCAGGCACCTCCTCGCTTTTCCCCGGGGCGTGCGTATGGATCCAGGAAGAAGGAAGCGATGTCTTTGCCGGCATCCTGTACCTTGAAGAACATGACGTCGGGATGCCACCGCTCAGCTGCATTGTCGTCCTGAGCGATGTCGACCCCGAACAGCTTTGAAGCAATGCCAAACATGCCTTTCAGCACTTTGGGAAGCGAGAAGTACGGCCTCAATGCTTCCTCGTCGTAGGCATACTTCTCCTGCTTGAGACGCTCTGTCCAGTAGGCCACATCCCAGAGCTGCAGCTTCCCGTCGTAGCCTGCGCTGAGTCTGCGTGCAATGGCTATGCTCTCCGCACGACCTTGCGATCTGCTAGACTGCTAGAAAAAACATTTCGTATGGCATGGATGTCACAATCCTTTGGCTAGTGCTGAGCCTTTCTTGTTGGCGAAATCCTGCAGCTCCTGTAGCTCTTTCTCGGCAGCGGGCCGCGCCACCGCAAATAAGTCCCCCGTCAGCTTGCGCACCGCCTCGAGGTCCGGAGCCATCTTCTTGGCAAGGGATTCGGATGCGTAATCTTTGAAGCCCAGAAAAGCTGAGGCTCTCTTCCGCAACTTCAAGATCTCCGTGATGAGAGGCCCGTTGTCCATCTTGCCGGTAGAAGCACGTGAGATGAAAGCACGGTAGAGCTTCTCGCGCAGCTCGGAGGACTTCAGGTGCTTCAGGGCGGGAAGGTAGGAGGGCATGTCCAATGTCAGCCGCCAAGGCCCCGATCCTGAGGTTGCCTCGGTCTTCTTCTCACTCTTTCCACCTTGTGCTTGATTGTAGGACTGTGCCGCTGCCGCGAGTGCACTCGTGGGGAGGCCTTCAACATCCTTGAGCTCTGTCAGAACCATTTCGAAAGCCTTCGTTGAATCAAGCAGATTATTCCCGAAGCTCGTACCGAGTTCTGCTAGGCGCAGTCGCATGGTCTTGAACTCTTCCTTTGCGCTGCCCTCGAGATCCACTCCGCTCAGTCGCATGTCGCGCAGAGCAGACTCCACGATGCGCTGCCGGGACTCAGGAAGAGCACTTGTTTCCAAGCTGCCCAGGGCATCGAAAACGACGCGGCTCTGCGACAGCTCCATTTCAGCCTTGACTACCTCTGGCTGGACTGCCTGGTGGACTTCACGCAAGGCATCCGAGTTCTTTACATTGTTTAAATGACTGACAACACCCCAGCTGTAGGAAAGTGGGTGCCGCAGCTTCTCAAGAGATTCCACAACCCCCTCATAGTCAGGCTTGGAGGTCTTGGGGAGAGCGGCTTCAAGGCTCTTGAAGTCCTCGCGCATGGACTTCAAGATAGCTTCCATTGCAGGCTTCACGTGCTTTACATCGATGGACTGAAATCGAGGCAGCCCTTTCGTCTCCAGCAGCGGGTTCTTCGCGTCTTTCCCTTCCCGACTCCGGCTTCGGCTCCGGGCAGACATTGGGGCCGACTAGATGCGTTTGCTTATGCTCTGACTGGCTTTACACATCAAGTTTCATGCAAGCTTGTGGCTAGCATACCAGGTTCACGTGCAAGCCGCCTCGGACCGCTGTAACAGTGAGGCATGCGAATGACTGGATTTCACTGTACACTCACAAAGCAAGGTTGAGGGCGTGAGGATTTGTCTGAAATGGCGATTGTCTCACTCGGAGCCATGCAAGGGTCTGGTTTGTGTAGCGTGGAGTTTCAGAAGTCACAATCACAGAAACGGGTCGTCTGCTTGCTGCCATGGTACCGTCGGACCTCTGCTAAGCCAAAGGACGACAGCTCGAAAAAGTTGACGAAGCCTTTCTTTTGTATCTCCTTGGAAAAGTCGTGAGAGTCTAGAGTCTAGAGAGCCTGCAGTGAATACATTACATCCCTTAAAGCTTGTCAAGGCCTCCAAATAGTAAGAAGAACTGTAATGATGAAAGCAAAAGGGGGGGTTTCTGGGGCACTGGGCGGTTGAAGGGGTGATTGGGAGCGTACAGTATGAGTGTGTGTGAATGCTATGACAGCTGCTATGAAGCTTCAGGGGTGCAATCGGGGATGGTTTGCCACCGGATATGACCGATGGCACGGAGTGAAATTAAAAAGGGTTTGGGTGTACACAGCACTGCACTGATGGCCTCCAAGCGCTCGTCGTAGCTGCCAAGGCCGACCTCACCAGGACGGTCCACTGCCGCTTCCTCTCCGTGGGGACGAGTTGCCTTCTGTTCGCTCAGGTTCCGCAGCACGATGGTGTAGCGGTGCGCCGGGCACCTGTGATGCACCATCGGACGAAGTGTGTCGGAAAGAAACCCGACTCTGACTAAAGCTAGGCCCATCACATCTGACTCATCTGAACGGAAACACGGACGGATGTCTAAGCTTGGCCGAGTGGCGCGACATCTGTCATGCCCAGACTTTGCGTCAGGTCCTGAAACAACGTACGAAATGGGCACCGGCCCTGCTTCAATTCTTGAGGTAGGACGCGAGGCGGCACAAGACCCAACCGAAATCTTGCACCGAGGGTCTGGAGGACCCAAAGCAAGCGTTTCGCCTTTCTTCCCCAGAACCCCAGCTCGAAGCTCTGGAGTGAATTCCAGGTCCGGAAGGCCTGCCAAGACCGCACAAAGGATGTAAGCACGCTACATAATTGAAAGAAGAGCAATGGAAAGAGGAACGAACAGTGAACGGCTACAGTATGCACTCTTTTGGTTGTTGAATTGAATGAAGCATGCTTTCATTCATTCCTTTCATTTCATTATCTTTATTTAACTGAAGCGAAAGAAGCAAGCACATGATCCGGAAACGAACCAGCCGCCTAACACACGATACCACCACCAAGAACCAGATGTAGAGGTTAGTGAGAGGAGCGAACGACCCCCGGATTCACCATCCAGCACCGGCTGACAGATCATGAGGTGGGAAACGCACGTGACCGGAATGTGGAGTAGAAGAGAGGGTGATGCGATTTTGAACTAATGAAAAGAAACAAGTGAAGCGCGTGTTCATTTCGTTAATAAGAACGCAACGCTATGCGTTTTCCACGCAACCTGGAGCTGGCTTCTTTGCTTCTTTTTCTTGTTTCTTTCAATTAATTTAACACAAAAGGCCAACGGTGTCCAAGTTGTGCGGTGAAATTAAAGAAATTAAAAAAAAGAAGAAGCAGGCGCTTCACTTGTCTTACTTCTTTTTCATTGCTTTATGTCTCTTTCCACACAACTTTACCACCGTCCCTAATTCACCGTCCAGACCATCATCGTTCTAGCTACATTCAATCTTAAAGGTGACAGCGGCTCGTTCCTGTGGGGTTGATCTCGTGCAGCGTCAATCTCCTGAGAAGTGCAAGCATGGCGAGCCGTGACGATGAAGTGACTTAGCCGCGACCCAGATCACTTTGAATTCACTTTTTCGGGTAGCAAATCACTTCATGAATCACTTCTGTGAGCAGCCCGGATCACTTCAAAATGACTTTTCCGAGTAGCTAAATCGCTTCTGTGCGATTTCCCAAAAAAATCCAAAACACTGTTTTCAATTCACTTTAAAGGCTCATACAGTCCGAAAAGAAAATACCTGCGGACCATCCCACGGTTGGCAGGCCATGACGTTACAAGCTTATGCATGTGTGTATGTAGCACATAGTTATGTCTTAGTACGTCCAAACGCATGATGCATTGTATGCACAAGCTGCAGCACTGACACCGACAACCAAACCGTGTCTTCTGTGACACATTGCATGCCAAGAAAACTGCGTGGGCACGAAACGCATTCATGCTTGAGCGGCCGTTCAAAAAGTACGAAGGTGTGCCTAGGTGACAGCATCCTTTGGTAAGTACCTGGTCTGCCATGCTGCAAGACTCACTGGTATTCGATCGGAAGTCGTTAAAATCACACTGCATGTGCAATGCAACACCTCAGCCACGTGCGCACCATGAAGTACTAAGAAGCTCGGCACAAGAAGTCACAAAGTCAGGAGAGGATAGCTTCCAATGCCCTTGCTGCGGGGGACACATGGCTGGGCACACCGACTGCACACAGAGAGAAAACACACGCACACACACACACACAAAGGCACACACAAGCACGGCAACTGCGCTCACTCTGCACTTGTTGCTCCAACTGCCGGACTCCGAGTTCGTTACAATTCGCACCACGGGATGCCACACTGGGCACAGCTCGGTTGGAAGACCCAGGTGGACGATAAAACGTGAGAGTTTACATGCGACCGTCTACAAGGAAGTTAGTCTTTGACACGCGATCGTCAAAATGGCACACTACTGTCGAGTGTAAAACCTGGCGCAGTCCGAAAGAAACAGAGCGTCTACAGGCATCGAACTTGCGACTACAAGAGGGAGCAGCAGCAACAGGACAAGGACATCACATGAAAGCACGCCCCATGGTCTCAGATCTTTGAAGGAATCCTAAGCGGGCGAGAATGCAAGAGCGAGGGGTCACACTGTGGGCAGCTTCCCCCCTACATGTGTACACCTTCATAGTGAGTTGACTTGAAATTCACAGATTTTGGTGAGGTGGCCGGAGGGCCACCCGCACCCCCGGCCGCACGGCCCTATGTCTTGACCGAAACTACCCTCACCATGTTCTGAAACTCCACCCTGAAGCTTCAGCTGGATGATAGTGGCAATTGGAGGGGTGCGATGGATGCTGCCGGGAACAACTTGACACTAAAAGCAAGCGGAACCGCTTTAATGTTCCATGGCTTTCTGACCGCAGCCTTCTGTGAGAGAGTGTCAGGGTGCTGTCCCGCGTCGCTCCCCGAAGGGGTCAACGTCAGGTCGGTCACTCGCTATGACACTTCACAGACGGGCCATTCAAAGGGCGTGACCCCTGACCTAAGTAGCCTGAAACCTGGCACTTTGGCCTCTAGTGGCCTGTGCTCGGCTCGGACATCAAGACGAGGACGCGAGTGTGCGGGGGTGGGTGGTGTGAGGCCGGGGAGATGGGCGAACGACACAGGACGGTACCGGATGCTTATGGGTCGCTGGCCTCGTGGCAGCCGGACCACTTCCACGGCCACGCCAGGCAAGTGAAGCCCCGGACCCAATCGCAACGCGGTCTCAGGAACACCTGGGTAAGCTGCACAAGGACTTCGAAGTATGGGCCGAACACCATACACTTGATGCTCGTTTCCTACTACAGGTACTGTTGGCTCTAACTCCTGAATTCAGAGCCGTATCACGATACATTCTTCGCGATGTCTATGCTCGCATGGCCGTGTCTCCACTGCCAAAGTCTGCATGAGTCGGAAAGCAAGCATGCTGCAATAGAAATCCGTGGCAGTGGGTACTAAAGCCACTAAAGCCTCACAATCGCAATGCATGCGTAGTTGCACATACATGCGCGCGTTTTCATAATTCAATACGTGCACGAACCGACAAGCAAACTTAGAGTTGTGCATGTATCGAAAATGGCCCGCAAGCGACCACGCCGATGAATTCAAGTACATTCAAGTCCTAGAAGTGATCTAGGTGAGCCCGCCCAGAAGCAGATCGAAAGGCTCGAAAGACGAGAGATCGGCTCACTCTTTGGCCTCTTCTTAGCAGGGCTCCGCTAAGTCCCGGGCCCAGGGCCGGCGCCAGGCGCCGCCTCGGCGACGCGGGCACCTCGGTGGCCTCCGAGTAGAGGACGGCGGCCCAGGCCTGCAGGGACCCCAAAAGCAGAGAAACAGAAAGGGAGAGCTGGAGCTCTGCCTTTCGGGAAACCGCGACTGCGATGTTTTTTTTTTTTAATCTGGGGCTTGAGGCAGCTAGGCAAGCTGCTGTTTCCGTGCTGCTAGCGGAGCAGCTTGGCTTCAAGGACCTTATGTTAATACGCTTTGGAAGGCTAGTGAGGCTAGTGTGAGCGTGTGTGTGTGTGTGCCGATCGAAGCTCATCAACTGGTCCTTGTCGTGCGTACGCCGATTCGTCTCAGAGCTGCGACGTTGCCTGACAACGGGAGCACAAACACTTTTCTGCAAAGAAGGCCTGTCGATTCTGGTGCTGTTCTACAGCGATTCAGGGCCACGCTTGTATCAAGCGCATCGCAAACTCAAAAGGATTCTCGCATGTCTTGACCAAGCAGCCGCTGAATCCTTGGATCCACCTCTGGCTCGGGCGCGCTGACTTGCTCCGGCGGGCAACCTCAGCCGACTCCCAAGGCTTGCGACAGCAGCAAAACCCAGGCTCTTCCGAGGTTTCGGCCCAGGGATCCCAAGTGCAGCACCTCTCCAGACGGCAGCACGTCGTGTCGCTGGAAGTCCTGGGCTCCCCAAACTGGAAGTCTCATGAATGCTTGAGCCATGTGCGTGAGCTTCGTCTGCCCCTCAGCATCGCATCGAACAAGCCCACAACACCATCCATGCCACGGCACTGATGTGATCCGATTCGACAGCAGTTTGCCGGCCAGCTTCCGCCCGGGCGTCAAGAAGCAGTTTAGACCGACATCCTTGGATAAAAAGGGTCGGGTATCTGAAATTACTGCCGTAGACGGAGCCTGGACCACTAGGCAACTGGGCTCGCTCCTTTTCACTCACATGGCTCAAACTCTGCAGATCCCTTCCCTTGAGACGCACAGCATCGGCACTGCACACGTGAACATGGCATGAGGCTCAACCGATCGCAAGATCAGCACTCCTCTTTATTTAAAATGCCTGTTCACCCCTCTGGCACTTCAGCGCCAGGCAGCATTGGCTCCGTTCGGATCTATGTCCGTTGGAGAGCGGCTCTCCACAAGAGTGATCCATGGATCGCTCATCCAGTTGCGGAAGGCATCTCGCAAGGATCTGGATCGTTTTGTAAGAATGTCTGCCAGTTGCTGCTCAGTAGGAACCCATCTCAAAGCCCTGCACTGCTGACGAAGAGTAGCAATGCTGATCTCGACGCGCTTCTCGGCGAACGTGGTGCTGAGCCGATGTATGGCATCCCACAGGCTTCGAGCGTCCGTCACAGGCACGACCTCGATGAGGGGAACCTCGCGAAGTGTCGCAGAGTATCGACCGTCCACCATCTCTGAAAGCATCGTCGCCAGGAAGTTGCCGTAGTCCTCTGCCTTGTCCAGTGAAGCAGCTTCAGCAGCCAAAATTGAACGCAGAACACGCTGGTGACGGTGCGACTTCCACTCCAACAGCGAAGCTTTCTGGGGCAGCTGTAGAACCTGCTTGCTCGTTGCCACCACAACCAGGCCACCCTGAGACTTGCCTCCGGGAGCGTTGGCCCAAGCGGAGTCACCGTAGGCGATGAGCAGCATGTCCTCAAAGTCAATGGGGATCAGCTTGTAGTAGGCATCGCTCGTTGCCCTGACGTACCTTAACACGCTGTTCACTTCAAGCAAGTCGGCGACTGTCAGCTCGCTCGGTGGCTTCTGAAGCAGGGAGGTGTCCGCCGCAATATCGCCGCGGGTGGTGCCTGCCATCCACTGGAGGCTTCCGATTCCTGACCGAAACTCCGTGATCAACTCGGGGTGGTCGCTAAGCTTCTCGTCGGGAGGCATGGAGATCTTGGTGATGGGAACCTCTGCCACGTAGCTGGCTTGATCCACCGTGAGTGACCAATCATCATGCTGCTTGATGTGGCGGCCCACAAAAGTAAACTCCTTGGTCTCCCAAGTGCTGCCCCACTCAAAAGAGCCACGCAGGGCTTCAAGGGCCGCCTCTCGGCCAGGAAGCACGGACATGATCATGTCATCCACGTGCACTCCAAGCACACCGGTGATCTTCAAGACGCCATCGCACTCTTCACGAAGAAGCCACAGGCACGGGTCAAGAGTGTGTGCTGTCCAGCCCAAGCCTGTCAAAGTTCTTGCCACATGAACGTACCAGCGCCTTGGGGCGTTAGCTTGTCCGTAGACTGGGGCAGAAAGTTTATAAAGCAAGTTGGCTTCGGACCACTCTTGAACGGCCTGGAGGCCTATGGGGTCGCCTGGAGCTCTCATATATATGGCCTGCGGGCGTTCATCATCGGCGGCTCCTTGCAAAAACGCGGATTTGCAATCCCCGCTGAAAAGGGGGACCTTCAGCGAGGTCGACCATTGGAGGACGCAATGTAATCCAGCTCTTGACAAGACGGGCGAATCTCTGCTGAGTAAGGGCAAGTGCGGATCCCTATACCCGGCAATGACTATCCGAGCCTTGGGTTTATACGATCCATTTCCCTTCGGCTTCCATCTGTAGCAGATTCTGGACTTCAAAATCAAAGAAGGATCGATTTTCTCCAGATCTACATAAATGGGCCTGCAGCTGGACCATTTACGCCATTCGGTCCATTCGTCCAGGACGGCTTGGACAAACTGAGGAATCTCTGCCTCGCTCATTGCCTGCCACGGGAGCTCCTTCTTCAACGCTTGTCTCTGAGCCCTTGAGGGAGGTTCTTGAGCGCCATCATGCGCATCGTCGCCCGAGGTGTCCATGGCCAGGGTCTCACCTTCACCCGGTGGTTGCCATGCACGAGCCGGGTACGCCTCCGCGAAAGCCTCGTGGAGCCAAGGCGGCAGGTCCTCCACGCGCACTTGACATACCTCAGCAGCTCGAGGAGACAATGAAAAGCCCATCCGTTGCAAGCGCCGCCTGATCGAAGTGGAGATCTCGGGAAGTAGGCGGCTCGTATAGGCCACGACACTGTAACGCTCCCCTTGAAATGGCTGCGTCTCGTGGTAGCAGTCAGGCCGGAAGGAGTACACCTGATCCTTGGTGCTGGTCACAAAGCCCGGCAGCTGCACGTCACCAACCATTCGGTACACAGCCTCAGGAGGAGGATTGGCAGACTTGCACTCAACCCACAGCTCGCCTCCATTGAAACTGCCCACAGAAGTAACCCAGTTCAGGGATCCATGCACGTTATGCAAATCTCTGTGGCACTGGGCAGCAGCGTTCTTGGAGATGTAGATGGAGGTCGCCTGGCCTCGCATGCCGTGATGGCGCATGTACTCCAAAACATACAACGTCAACTGACGATGAAACTTGGAGGCTTTGGAGATGCCGGAGAAGCCGCCGTGGGAGTAAAGTCCCAACAGAAAACCTTGGCTCTTGGCGCCCAGGCAGTTCCTCTTGCCTGAAGGAAAGTTCACCGAGTCCAACAGCTGATGTAGTGTGCTAGGGCGGAAATCTCTCGACTCGCACAGCTGTTTGGCCATGAGCTCGGAAAGCGGAAGAGGTTGCCTGGACGAAGACCATGCAGCAGCAGCAGTCGTAGTAGAGGACGTTGTCGCTCCAGGCGCTGCCAGTTCTGTTGTTTCCCGATGATCACCAAAGTGGTGTGCGGCAGAAAGAAAAGCGCTCGTCTCGAACATTGGTTGAAGTTCATGAGGCGATCCATCCCAACCGGTCTGATGCGCCTCGTTGCGGCCATGTCGTTGTAGTACATCAAGTCTGTGCAAAGCCGTAGAGGAAGGTACCGCAGTAGAAGAACCATGATCATTTTTGTCTTTGAATTCGCTCACAAAGGAGGTGGCCCGGGGAAACGCAGAGGTATGGCAGGAGTTGATAGCTCGATTTTCGAAACGTTGCTCCAGGGCCTCTCGTTCCATGACTTCATCGAACCACGAAAGAACATGCATAGGCGAACTCACCGTACGAGTACTCAGACATCTTGAACAGGAGTCGACGCCATCCACTTGGACACGATGTTGTTCACCGCAGTCCTGGCAAAACAAAAGTAGGGAAGCTGCAGCATCAGCCACATCCTCGGTGCCTGGTTCCCGGCGAGGTTGACCTTGTACACGGGGGTCAGGCAGCTCATCAGCAGGACGTTTCGTCCCTCGAGAGGTGGCATCACTCGGCACCTGGTCCATGAGAAGCTCGAGATCATGTTGCAGCTCCGATGTGCCCAACGAGGAGCGCTTGACTGCTGCTGACTCAGACGACACTTGACGTGATGCATCCTGTCCATGACCACCACTGACCTGTGACACCGAAGACATTCTAGACGGCTGTCCTTGACCACCACTGACCTGTGACGCCGAAGACATTCTAGACGGACCGGGTAATGCCTGCTGTTCTGGAGGTAATGCCTGCTGTTCTGGAGGTAATGCCTGCTGTTCTGGAGATAATGCCTGATGTTCTGGAGGCGGTAATGCCTGTTGTTCTGGATGTGGTAATGCCTGTTGTTCTGGCACCGGAGGTAAAGTCTGACGTGCCGGAGTCTTGCTGCGACTGCGCGCCCGACCTCTGGGAGTACCAGGTAAATTGGCTGTAGATCTCGGGGTCGGCGGAACCAACATAGAAGGAGGCATCATTGGCGGTGCAGGAGTAGCTGTTAAGGGCTGACCATCCGCATCCAACACCGGCTGACCTGACTGATCCAGCAACGCACGAGGGGCTGGAGATTGCGCCCGCAACTGAAAGTCCAACTCAGCCACCACAGCCTGATCATCTGAGGCCTGCGGGCCAGGAGGGGCACGAAAGGCGAGGGTGGAGTGCTTCTCAGACAAATCCTGGTCAGACCTTTTTAAGGAGGTCCAAGTCGGATTGACTTGGTGCCCACCACTCCTCCTCGCCACCCACAGCACGGACCTGCTCTTTGCTGGCAGAAATGAGCCTGCCGCGGTTGTTGCGAATCCACAAGGTGGAACCATCAAGCGCAACAATAACACCCTGGCGGTAGCCCTCAGCAGTGCCCTCGCCGTCCAAGGTATTGCGAAAGCGATAGTATGCGACGCGTTGTCCCTCGGAGAAAGGTCCACGAGCAGGGCGAGGTTTTCGAAGCAAAGCCGCACGAAGAGCGGCATCAGACTCAAACTGGTGGTAGAGCATCATTGCCTTGGTGCGGATCTGTTCAACCAGACGAAGACGATCACTGTCATTATAAAGCGAACAGCTTTCCACATTGCCACCGGAGCTGAGCAAAGACCCAGGCAACTTCGGATTGCGACCGAAAACCCATTGAGCCGGCAACGAACCAGATCTACGCAGCAATGAATTTTTAGCTGAAGCGGCCATGGTCACAATCAAATTCAGCTCCTCGGCGCCGAGGGGTGCGAACTGAGAAACCAGCCGCTGGACAATGTAGCGGATGGATTGTCCATGGCGTTCCACCTTGCCCATCTGATAGTGAGCATCGGCCGGAGCGTACCTGATCTTGACAGCGCATTGGGCTTGCAATGTCTCGAAACGGAAGCCCCTGAAACTTCCGTCCGAATCCAGTAGCATCTCATCCGGAGGGCCGAAGAAAGCAAACCAGCCATTGACCAGAAGACGCATGGTTTCCTCTTCGGTCCTGTCGCGCATGTAGTTGAGCACGTGGTAACACGTTGCCTCATCCACCTGAGACAGATAGCCGTGAGCTCGACCCGAGATGTCCTTTAGCCACAGAACATCCAAATTCAAACGATCATTGAAGCGTCGAGCAGTAAAGGCCTTGGCTGGACGGGGTAGTCGTGGAGGTTGTACGCGCAGACAAACTTCACATCTCAAGTGTCTCGCTGCTTGGATTGCAACCTCCGATGCACCCGATGCCGAAAGGTGACGAACCATAGTAGGCGTAGACGGATGTCCAAGGTTGGTATGTAGTCGACGCATAACCTGCAGCAGCCATTTCGGAGCTCCCTTCAAACCAGGAAAGGTGATATCCCGGAAGCCCGGCTGGTGTGGTCGCATGACCTCAGTCTCCTCAACCTCATCCGTCTCGGCCTTCTTGACCTGAGCCTCAGGTTGTTCGTTCTCTGCTTCATTCAGACTGGTGGCCGGGGCTGTGCCGAAGAAGAAAACAGCCACGCGCACAGGGGACGTAAAACGACCTGAAGACTGAGCCAGAATGCGACTCACAGACTCGGCCTCAATCACAACCGACCCGTCACTCAACCACAGAGCGGCACCACGATGTTGAGCTCCTACCTGAAGAACTTCCAGTGGGAGCCGTCGCTGCATCGGAGTCCTGCAAATCTGTATGCGTACCACCTTCCAGGGCACCAGTGCTTTAAGCTGCTCACCGAAGGGCGTACTCAAGGGAATCACACGGTCAGGTCTCACCTTATCCTTCGGTTGAGCTTCCGCTTCCTTCAGGAGGGGTAACCAAGAATCTTCATGACGATCCACGTCCAGAAAGTAAACGGTGGCCCACAGATCTCCTCCGGCAGGTTGGAGATCAGGAAGCACGTGGGCCTCATCCTCCACATCGGCTTGCCAAGTCGAGGAAGAAGTTGCACTGTTAAAGCGTTCATCGCCAAGTTCTTTAAGAGAGTCACGTAGTCCACAGACCACAGCCTTGGCCAACTCGGTCGTATAGACCTGTGTCCTGACCGAGTTTCCGCCCATCACCTGACCGTGAACATGAACGCCTGGACCGGGGCATTGTTGACAAACTTGATCAAGCAGGAGTGGAAGATCACAGAGCCACCCCGTTGGCTTCTTCAGAAGTAGCCCATCCTTACTTGTCAGCCCATAGCAACACATGTGACCAACACGAAGTTCGGCGTGCGGGAGCTGGTATAGTCGAAGGATCTCCGGGTGCTGCCAGAAGGCGGTGTAGGCGGGATTCTCCAAAAGGAAGTGACCGCCATAGTCGTTGTGGATGGCCAGGATCGTGTCCACCATGCCCTTGATCCAAGAGTTCTGTCCCATGCGAAGCTGATGCAGCGTCGCCTGGTCGTAGTTGAGATGCTGGACATTGGGCCACAAGGTGCATGGAAACTCGAAAACGGTCAGGAAGGGCTTGTGCTTCAGCAGCAGCGACCTGAGGGCAGCGAAGTCAGCGGGCTTATCTAGGGAGAGGCCATGAATCTGATCCACCGGCACATATCCCTGCGAGGAGGTTGAGGAGGGCCGCAAGGAGCTTTGGGACCTTGCCGATGTCGCGCTGCCGGGTCCTGGATGTTTTCCTCGGATGGCCTGCATTACGTGGTCGGGGAGGTTGAGAAGCGTCCTTGCTGACGGGGAAGCTTTCGGAGTGGCCAGCACAGATGTTCCCGTCGGTAGAAGCACGTACCTTGTTCCGCAAAGATCGCAGATGCGAACTCTCACTCCCGCTGCTCCGTAAGCTCTCATTCCTGAAGGATAATTGCAAGTTTCCGGAGTGCGCAGGTATTTCTGGCTTTGCAGTGACTCCTGAGCTGCCATCGCCGCCGTGGTCGACAAAAGTGTTGCCGCTGAGCTCGGAACCAAATGCGTCTGTAAGACCCTGTCCTTGAGAGCAGAATGCAGGGTCGTGGCTGAATACATGATCACCATCTGCTTGACGTAAAGGACGAAGTTCAGGAGGTTCCTCAACATGTTGCGCCAACGCACAAGCCATGTTGGCGGAGGCATGAGGAACGGGTCTGGCAGGAAGCTCGATAGTCCTCAGTGCGCTCGAGCTTTCAAGACTGCCAGGATAAATCACGTCAGGCAATGCTGAGGGAACATGTTCAGGAGGCCATGCAAACTGTTCGTCTCCCCACTCGTCCAACCTAACAGCCAAATGGCCACAAGGTGACAACCACAGCTGCGTCGTGCACTGCAAAGCTCGAAAATAGTGCACCTGTGGAGGCTCATTGGCACTCACCGTCCACACTGACGCAGCGCCCTCGGCATCAAGCACCAAGCCTCCAATGGCTGCACTCGCAACTTGAGCATTCTGAACGTTGTACGAAGGGCAATCCTTCAGCCAATGGTCCGAGGCACCGCATCCGAGGCAAAGACTCCCCTGGAGCCTTTGTTGCTGAACAGCAGGATCCAGATGCTTGTTCTTGCCCTTGAGACCCGGACCTTTCCTGCCAGCAGCTTTGCCAAAGGAACTTGACGGTTTGCCACTGGCCTTGCCTCCAGATTTTCCGCGGCCCTTACCACGGCCTTTGCCCTTGCCTTTCCCTTTCTTGCCCTTGCCGTCGGTCTGGTAGTAGCCCCGAGCCTGCGCCAAGCCAGCCAATCGTTTGCTCGTTACAGTCAAGGACTGCAGCAAGCTGTTCCATTCGTCGTCACCGGCCACATAGTCAGTCTCCTGATTGACCCAGTCGTGGTTCTCGTCGGCGTCCTCGGCGACCTCCTCGTTGACATAGTCCTCGTTGGCACCTTCGTCCTCAGCGAGCTCCTCGCCTTCCGGGACCAAAGGGAGGTCATCCTCAGGAGGCAAAGCATCGTGATTCTCATCGTCGGCGAACTCCTCGTCGGCGTAGTCCTCCCAAGAAGTGTTCCAGTGGCGCCATTTTCTCAAAGAGGGACCGGATCTCGTAGAGGGAGCCGAGGTGGACGCCGTAGAGGAAGAGGTTCCACGTCCACGACCTCGTCGATCAGCGCGTAGACGAGGAAGACCTGTGATAGTCATGCCGGCGGGATACTGGATAGCAATGGCATTCAAGATGGCCTGCATGTCGTACCTGTTGCCAGCAGCCAGTAACAGGGAGGCCACACTCTTCTCGTCCAAGCGAAGCCCATCCAGAAGTTTGATGACCCTGGCCTGCTCGGGGTACTCAGGCACCTGATTGTCCTTTAACTTGCGTTCCAAAAGCCTGAAGCGGCGCACAAAAGCATGAACACTCTCACCCTGAAGTCTTCCCACGCTCTCGAACTCCCTGATCGTTCCGCCTTGGCGAAACATCTCCTTTGCACCGAAGCTGCGCTCGAGATCTCGAAGAAGGAGGGTGATGCTGCCTTCAACATTGTAGCGGTCGTCGTCAATCTCTTCCATCTCGATTTCAGCCTCACCTTTGAGGTTCTCCAACGCCCTCAAGGCCTGCTCGTTTCCAGGAAGATACTCCTTGGTGATTTCCACCCATCGAAGGAGCTTCCTTCGATAGTGCCGGTAGCAGTAGGGATCAGCCTCGATGTCCCCATTAAAGGTGGGAGGAGAAGGAACCGCCCCTGATCGCCACCGCTTCTGGTCCGAGGAACTTGGCTTGGAAGCCACACCTCCCCTAGACCCGCGCTTTCGTCTCGATGAAGTCACCAAGGTGTCCACCTAGGAATGTGCGGCGCCTGAGCCAGTGTCGCCATGGGCGGCATTGTCTTCGAAGTCAGCCGCAGGTGCGCCTACGCCAATGTCAGCATGGGTTTCCCGGGCGTGTGCACCGCTCAACAGGTCCTCATCAAAGTACATTGTCGCAAAACTCCAGCAAGCCCAAGCCTAGCCAGAGCGTCGCTACCAATCTGAAATTACTGCCGTAGACGGAGCCTGGACCACTAGGCAACTGGGCTCGCTCCTTTTCACTCACATGGCTCAAACTCTGCAGATCCCTTCCCTTGAGACGCACAGCATCGGCACTGCACACGTGAACATGGCATGAGGCTCAACCGATCGCAAGATCAGCAGGGTACATTGGGAGGGGAACAGTCGAGGTTCTGGGCTGGAGCTTCTCGCGAACCACCGGACCAGCCTACCTGTATGGAGAGCCTTGATGCTGCGAGCTCTTATCAAACACTCCCATGCACCAGCATGCATGAACTTGTCGCTGAAGATGCGATGAGAGCCCCACAAGGTTGGAGACCGCAATCGGTGACCGAAGGCGGCAAAAATGCCAAAAGGAAAACATGAGCGCCTCTGCAGATCAAGTGGAGATGGAGTTGGGTAGTCTTGAGAGTAGACCGAGACCGTGGAGACTGTGATAGCCGCTGGTAGAAAGCAAGCTGTGTGAAGCCCAGGCCCATAACCATAGAAGAAGCCAAAAAAAGAATAGTCAGAATAGCTTAAACAGAAACCCCAGATAGCTTCAACTGCAAGAGGCGGCTTCCAGGGCGCGGACCGCCGCCTTGGCCTTCTTGGCTTCTGCCGCGCGAGCCGCCGCAGCCCGGGCACCCCGCATGCCATGGGCTGAAAGCGTTTCAAAGAGGTTTTGTCTCTCGGAAGGTACACATTAAGAGATATTAAGAGTAATTACGTCTTGCTACCTGGTACCATGTCCATTTGTTGCAGTCTCCTGCTACGTGTCCAAACCGTCCAAACCTGGAGTCGGAGGCCTGGGGAAGCCAGTGCAGGGTCACTCCTGTAGAAGCTCTGCTCAAGCCGACAGGTCCCCACCCCGACGATCGCTCATGCCACACTGTAGGGCCTGTAGGGGATGCAGAAGCCGACGGCACAAGACGAAGGCACTCATCTGCCAGAATCGGAGGGGCAATGCCAAAGCCACGAGTTTCACCCTCCAAGGGCTGCCGCGGCACTTCTTTGGGTCTTTGCCAGGTGTGAAACGTGTGAACCCGGGACACTGCAAGGAGTGCTCTGCGAGATGTGCAACCCTGTTCCAACACGCATCCCCAAAGCCAAACCGCCCCAGTTTCGGTGGGGTTTTGGCTGCAATCGTTTTGGCCTTGCGGCTGCTTGCGCCAGGTGGCACACGGCCAGGTATGGCGCGGCACCGTTTAAATGACAGGGCTGTGTGGTTACAGCTTGGTTGTAGCGCGCCGGCTTTCCCGACCAGGGTCAGCGGCAGTGGCGTATAAGCAAGCCCTTACAAAGACGAATTCCAACCCATGATGGTGCTGGTGAATGTCTGATGATACCAGACTCTTGCTCGTAAGATTGGTTACTCTTTTGGGCACTGCTACCGTTGTGTTCTATATCAGCACATTACCCTACACGACATGAGTCTCATACCGTATGACTCGCAGAACATCGCAAGTGCACCGGCTTTCAATGCGTAGGGGCCTTAGGCGGCTACACATACATGTGGTGCCTGAGCTCCTGTCACACAGACTTTGCGTCCGCACGTACTGACCGGAGAACAAAATGGGAATGTTGAGGATTTCTACAAGCCATCTCTCCGTGCAACAGGGACTGTTGACACCACAGATGTTCCTCATGATGCCATTCTTTGGCTGAGGCTCCTTCACGAGGACAGACTGCCGGAAATCATGTCGTAGCAGCAGCAGCAGCAGTAGCAGAGCAATAGCAGGAACTCTATAGTGTAGTAGTAGTCGTCGTCGTCGTTGTCGTCGTAGTGGTAGTCGTAGCCGTAGTCGTAGTCGTCGTCGTCGTCGTCGTAGTAGTAGTAGTAGTAGTAGCAGCAGTAGCAGTAGCAGCAGCAGCAGCAGTAGCAGGAGTAGTAGTAGTAGTAGTAGTAGTAATCGTCGTCGTAGTCGTCGTAGTCGTAGTCCTAGTCCTAGTCCTAGTCCTAGTCCTAGTCCCAGTCCTAGTCCTAGTCGTAGTCGTAGTAGTAGTAGTAGTAGTAGTTGTTGTTGTTGTTGTTGCTGTAGTAGTTGTTGTAGCAGTAGTAGTTGTAGTAGTAGGAGTAGTAGTACTAGTAGTAGTAGTAGTAGTAGTAGCAGCAGCAGCAGTAGTAGTAGTAGTAGCAGCAGCAGCAGCAGTAGTAGTAGTAGCAGCAGTGGTAGCACTAGTCGTCATCGTCGTCGTCATAGCAGTTACTTAGTAGTCGTCGTGGTGGTGGTAGCGGTAGTGGCTGGTATACTGGTAGCAGTAGTGGACTAGAGGCAGAGGTAATAGCAGCGACTGTGGTAGTTGTAGTAGTGGTAGCTTTAGTGGTAATTAGTGGCAGGGGGAGGGGTAGGGGCAGGGGTAGTGCTAGTGACTAGTGGGTAGTGGCAGCGGCAGCGGTCGTAGTGGCAGTAGTAGCAGTAATGCCTTCGTGTCGTCGTCCTCCTTGTCGGAATTGTCGTCGCGTTGTAGCAGAAGGTGGACCAATGTTTACACACGCATGTCGAAGGAGTCGCATCAGCTCTGGACAAAATGAAACGAGCTACAGCAGGCCGACTTCACTTGGACGGCCGATTGCAAACTTACGGAGGTTGGAAGTGGTGCTGTGCTGGTCAGCCAGAACACCGCTCTGCTGCAAAGCCAGGGTTCAGTCTGGAGTTTCGGCTTTGCATCGTCCCGCATAGCAGAGAAGGTTTGTGGGGACAACCCTCGCCTGCAGACATGTTGGAATGTGGCAGGGGCATATCTATATATTTATGTGTATGTGCTGAGGAAAGACAGCAATCCCCCAGCCTCAGTAGCCGAACTGCGTGTACATCCCTCCAAAGGCGCCCGGACCGGGCCTGCCATCACAGGCGCAGTCTGATTTTCCCTTCCCTTTTTGTTCTGACTTTCTCTTCAGCCAAACCCCGCTTCAAAAAAAGCCCGCCCGCGCTGCGTAGGACAGAGCCCGGAGGAGTCCAACTCGTTGCGGCATCGGATCGAAAACTTCGGTCCTCAGAACGAGAAGCCAAGGGCGAGCTCGGAAGTCGGAAGGTCCCTTTGCCTCCTTTTTTGCAAGAAGGCGTTTAGCGAAGCTCGAAGCTCGGCCCCTCGCCAGCGACTCGGGAGCCTCGGCGCCAAAAAGGGGATTTTTGAGAAAAAGGAGCCCAGCGCGCTTCGCTGCGCCCAAGTTTCAGCAAAGCGGCGGAGGTCGTATTGGCCAGGTCCCGGATTCTCGCCTAATTGGGTTTAGGGCGCGTTGCTTGGAGCCATGCATCGCAAGATTCGGGGTCGGCACCGTTTGCCCGGACGCCTCGGTCGGCAGTGCCAAACCTCGGTAAGAGTGCAGTGTGCTGCAGATCCTGAAACACCCCAAAAGCGCCGGGTATCTGCGTACCCTGTCGGAAGCCAAGGCGCGCCCATCTCGGCGCGGCTTTTGACACTGGACCTCACTCCGCAGAACTGGTTCCATCTCTCCGAGCTGGGAGGCTGAGGGGTTCTGGCTCTCCGAGCCCGCGCCAGCCGCGCCACCATGCCCATAGGTGCCCGGGCCAGGGGTGGTGGAGCACCTGAAACAATACTCCATAACACAGCAGCGCTTCTCGACGTCCTCTCCTCAGCATGGCTGGGACTCGGACTTTCGGTGTCCCCAGTCGGCCTTTTCTGCTCAGGAACCCAGCTCACTGTGTTGCACCCCGAGCTGATCAGTTCCGTGCCCCGTCTCTTCGGGGTGTGCAGGTGTGTCGCGGGAACTGCGGCCTGAGCCGAGCCCAACACACGCCTGTGTCTGTGAATCTTGCAGACGCAGGGAGGGAAAGCCCCCCTTCGCCTCGTGGAGTTCACGTTCGGCACATAGGCTCCGGGGCCTCTGCGCATTTCTGGCTGCTACGTTTGGACTCGTCCTGGACACGAATTCGCCGTGCAATGCCTGGCGTGTCCCGTCCAGACCCGAGCCTCGCAGGGCAGGGCAGTCACTCTCTGCTCCGATTCGAAGCGAAGCTTCGCGAAAGCGAGGCCCCGAGGCCCCAGGCCCACGTGCAGCTCTGCCGAAGACAGGGCCGGCAGAACGGGGGCGCTTCTAAGACCAGGGCGAACGAAACAAATGCCACATCTCTCCAAGGTCCCTCACCCTTAAACCCTAGATCAACCCCAAGCACCGTCAAAAAAAAAAACAACCCTACTAGGAACCCTAAAACAAACCCTAGGTCACACCCCCTAAACAGACCCTAAATGCGAGCCCCGGGCTGATCCGTAGGATTCGCTGGCCCCATAGGCACCAGGTCCGGGCGAGGCCAGAGCCATGCCAGCCTCTGCAAGAATCGGAGCTCGGGGGCATCGGCTTTGGATTCCGGATCCCGTGTTCTTATTCTGTTCTATATGTGTATAATATATTACAGTAGATTCTTATAGTATATTATAGTCTGGGTCTCGCGTTAAAAAATCGATTATTCTACAATCATTGCACTGAAACGTGGGGCTATCGACCACTTGACAGTCATCATAACAGGAAGAACCGCGGTCCAACGCCATTGAAACATGCTGTACACATCGGTAATTACGGTGCTTCGCGTGGCTGATGTACCGAAAGCCTCGGTGTTTTTGGGAGGCTTCGCGCGCCTGCTAGTCTCTTGCCTTGGGAAAGCCGAAAGCATCAGTATTTGCGGGTGTCTGAACGCAAAATGTGCGTAAGAGTTTACTCACGACGTAAAGACCGAAAAGACATCGAACGCATCCGCATTCATAGTGGTTGTGTGTTTGTTTGTACTTGTTTCCGGGAACGTCCCCGTCCACTGGCGTGTGCGCACTCGAGGGGCCGTGTAGTAATAGGAACAGGAGAAGAAGTGAAGATTTGGATGAGAGGTTTGTTTCATGCTTGCGCAATGGATGCTCTTGGCGAACGGATGCACTGGCCCCACGGACGTCATCATGGTTAGGCCAAGGATACCCTGGGGAACGGATGAGGCCCACGAAACAAGATGAATACTGATGTTTCCGAGATGCGAAGCTAAGGAAACACTGTAAACACGTCTCTTTTCAGCCTGCGTTAAGAAGCAAAGATGAGAGGGGTGCGAGCAGGGGCGTATTTCTTCTTCCGACCATGCAAGCACCTCAAGTAACGAAAAAGGCGGCATGTGAGTTCGGATGCATTGGAGCTAGTATCAACCACAGTGTCAAACATGGTTTACATCGGACATCGGAAATCGTAGCTTTCATCTACAAATTTCCCTCCAATCTGCGGTGGGCGTTCTGGTATCACTCGTCGAAAGCAACCGCTGTCTGGCTCGTCGGAATCTCCGCCTGCTCCGATCGTTGGCCTGGCATTCTCTATCTCCTTAAAAATTGCCCCGACGTCTGTTTCAGCAAGTTGCGGGCCAAGGTTTTGACCCCCTGGACGCTTGTCGGGGTCGTGGACGCCTGTTTCTGCTTGCTCCCCTTGCTCCCTCTCCCGCTGGGCTGGCACTGGTTGGAGTCGAAGTGACCTTGGGTTGCCCTCAGGCGAGGCTTGAGGTTCAAAGTGTCTCTCCAATGCTCTGAGCAATGAGAAGCAATCATGTCTTAAAAGTCTGGCGGTTCAAAGTGAAGATTCCGAAATCTTTTCAAACTTCCAGCTGAGGCGTGAATGGTTGGGCCTGTCCGCAAAGACAACTTTTAGCAGGTTGGCTACAACGGCTCCCACGGCTTGAGGCTCTGGTGGTGGAAAGTCCCATGGTTCGCGTGTTTGGCCGGCATCGCCCAGACCCCCTTTTCGGAACTCGGACCCAATAGGTTGGCTGAGTGAAGCCGGTCAGAAAACGACGTCATGAAACACAAACCTGCAAGTACACATCTAACCTACTGTAGGGAAGGAGAAGCCAGTCCAAGCAGGTCGTCCACCCTTAATGGTACAGAGTTGATGGCCAGACCATTCTTCCTTTTCTGCAGGGTAAAACTGGCACATTATGATGGATGCCAAGCCTGGCGGCTGTTGGGGAACTCAAAAAATCCACTCGGAAAACGTTAAACAGGACTCAGAGGTTCAAATTCAGAAGGCCTTTCCTGTGGCTAGCTTTTGGGAGAAGCAGCCAGGGGAGGCGCTGGGGATCTGAGGGGATCTGCGCCTTCGTTCCCTGCTCTTGGAGACCGGGCCTTGTCGCGAGCCGAGGAGCCGAAGGCGTAGCAAGGCTGCCTCCCAGGCAGGGGGGAGGGGAACTTCTGGGCAACTTCTGGGTGCTGTCAGAGGCCCGACCTGATCCTGCAGGACTGGGAGGTCTGATGGCCATAAGTGCCGGGCCCAGGCGTCTTTGGTCTGACCAGGACGGCTACGCGTAGTTCAGATTGAAACGCAACACTCGCAATGGCAGAGCCTGATGCCACTGCCAGGGCTTTTTCCCGCAAAGCTCCACTTCGGTGCCTTCGCATGTTGGTACAGAGCCACGGCCACCGCCGAGGGAAAGGAGTTGTCATGGGACAAAATGAAATCAGGCCGGAGCTTGCTTGTTTTGGGACATGTGAGTCAGCAAAACGCCGCCCTCGTAGCCCATCCGGCTTGGCCGAGCCATGGACATGCCTGGAGGAAGTCTCTTTGAGCTGCGCACTTCAGGAGGCCATGCCGCTTTTGACAGATTTACCGTGGCCATGCTTCGATTCAAGCTTCAAGTCTGCCCAAGCCTGGCGACGGTCAACGGCCTGAGACGCACCGATGGCTGATGGCTGCTGCCCTGGAGACCCCAGAAATCTAGCCCTCGGAAATAGGGTGAATAGGGTGGATAGGGGACTCGGGTGGTGGGGAAAGGGAATTGCCGCGCCCTGTGTCACCTCAACCCGGCAAGCTTGAAGCTGATTCGGCTGCACCGTCATCGTGCACAGGCACCTGCCTAGGCCTAGACCTGTGTAAGCATCTCCGCTAAACACTCATGGAGCTCAGGTCTCTGTCTCTTTCAAGGAGGAACGAGGAATATAGGAACGAGGAGCATTAGCTGAGCGTACTCCGGAACTTCCGTGGTTCGGGAGATCCGGAAAACGCCGATGAAGAGCATCGATTACTGTAGCCTCCGTAGGGCTCTGTGCTTCCCATCTTGGGCGGTCACAGATAAATGCTGACATTGAACTTATGGCGCCGTGTAGGCGGATTCAACAGCCAACTCATCTTTGGAGTGGCGAAGTCTGCTTTCGAAGTTCAGCCTCCAAACGTGCGTTTTCGATGGCACGTTCTTGCAGCAGAGACTGCATGTCAGCGTTCCTTGGTCGCAGCTCCACTCACATGAAACCTTTCACCTTGCCGTCGCAATTTGGCCACACCTGCCGCCGTGCTTCTGCCACTCCAGCATCTGGCACAGGCTCAACACTTCATGTGCTTCTCGACCCGCATCCTGCAATGCTTGCAATTGCAGCGGCCCGGCCACTGCAGTGGAGTAGCTGTAGCTGACTGTAGCTTGAGATGGATGCCGGTGGGGAGACTCTCTCAGCGGTCCTCCTGGCCGCGCTCGGGCGGCTCAGGGGGGTCGGCATCCTGCAAGGCTCGCAACTCGCAAGACAAAGGAACAGGTCCCTTGCCGATACTTCCCCCGGTTAGGCGAGAGATGAGAGCGTTGGAAGAGGGGAGCCTGCACCACCCATCGCCAGGCTGCCAACAGCGCGGCAGTGCGCGCCTGCGCCAACACATCTTCAATGATGCCTCGGATGCAATGCACCATAGCAGCAGTCCCGGTGAATATGCCTGGCTAAGCATTGCAGAGAAGCACAACAAATGTTGCCAGGTTACTCTGGAGTGTTTGCTGCGCGGGCGCTGGAAGGCCAGCGGCCTGGCAAAAGCCAGAAGACGACGAAGAGTTGGGTTGTCGGCTGTGACAACTATCAGGCGCAGGAGGCTACCCTCCACGAAAATGTGGAAAAGCTGGCAAGTTCCCAATTTTGAACAGAAGACTCTATCCGATTCTATCCTTCCCTCTCCGGCTCTCCGTTGTGCAGCACATGCAACGGCTTCTGTCCTGCCGCGCTTGGGCTGCGCGCCGCGCGAGCCGCGCACGGGCCACCTGCGCGTGCAGCCGTTCCGCCCAGGCCCTGCAGGGAAGCAAAGAGGTCAGTCGGAGTTTGGCAGCAGCAACAACAACAACAGCAGTAATAATGAGAATAATCGCAACAAGATCGAGCTGGGGCACCAGAGCTCGGAAGCGGCAGAGGCCTCCTTGCAAAGCCCGACTTCCAGCTGCAATTGGCCACCCACTGCGATGCTCTGCACATCTGGAAATGATCAAGGTAAGCCAAGGGCCATCCATTTCGCGCCACTCTTTCTGCTGGCCTGCAGGAGACAGAACTGACCCTTAAATGCGCCGGAACGCGATTTCTCCGTGCGCCGTTCTCGAGGCTGCCCGGAAAAGCTGCCTAAAAACGGCCCTGCACAATTCGCAATGAAGGCCTGCGTCAGGCCGAAAAAGGGCCTACATTCCAAGAGGCCTTCTGTTCTCGTTACTAAAGAAGACGGAAAGCCTGAAAGCTCGAAACTGAAACGGAGAGCAGGCCAGGCGCCTCCCGTCGTCGTGGAAGGCTGCGCCAGGCGCGGAAGGCCAGCTCTGTTGCGGCTCCTGGGCTTTGCATCAGCACTTCGGAGGCGACTTCGAGGGCTGCCGAGGTGCTTTCTTGCAACATCCGTGCCGGCGCTGGGCACGAGTCGTGCAAGTACATGTTGGGCTCGACCTCTCAGCGTGAGATCCCTAAAACTAGTAAAGACGGGTGCCCAGGCACAATCCCCGCGCCTCCACCACGCGTCCCTGCCCTCGCGACCAGCAGCGCCATCGGTAAAAGACCAGCGTTGTTACCACAGCTCGGTGCACGCCTATCGAAGCGTGCGGCAGAATGCAACAGCTCTCCAACTTTCGCAGGTCTTGCCCGGTCCTTCGAAAAGCGGCCAAAGATGTCGGCGAAGACTCTGCAAACCTCAGTGAGACGGGGCCGGGCAGTTGCAGTGCCATCTGACAGCGTGATCGAGGACCGACTGCTGGCGAGATGCGCTGGTTCCAGCAAGCAGCCGCAAGCCATCTGCCGAAATGGCTCCGGAGAAGTCTACGCTCCTGGAGCAAATGTGCACGGCTTGGGACCCTTCGGCCCTGTTTTTCGGGCTTTTTCAGACCTCTCTTTCTTTGGCTCCTGCAGCCGAGCCTGGCATCGGCGCTGCCCAGCGGCCCAAGCGCGGCGCCGCCTCGAAGAGCACTGCCGCCAGCCGTGCAGACATTTGGCCAGCACATGCCTGAGGCTCCAGAGCCGGGATCCAGCAGGAAGTGAAATTGAATAGAACGAAGGACAAGGGAGCAAGGGCGCGGGAAGGCCAGAAACTGGGTTGATCTCTTGGAGCTTCGACGAAGTCGGTGAAACATGTGGCGACCCGTGGAAGGTCGAAGGTTTGCAGCTGATTTTCAGCCCTAAACCGGTGCATTTACTCATGAGCTTTTGTTGCTCAGTAGGCTCAGTAGAAGGACTCAAGCGGTGTGAGAGACACCTCCACGAAGACGTCGGCGGTGTGCTTGGAATCCAAGTCCAAGGTCCAGGTGGCTTCCATCAAGTTGGAATCGCAGGCCAGAGTGCCTGAATCGGAAAAAGCCTGTGGCTGCATCTTCGTCTTTCCATTACCTACCAAGCGCAGGGCGGCTTTCTTTGCAGTTGCCAACTTCTTGCCCGACAGGATCGCAACGTTGCGCTCCACTTTCGCAGACTTGCCCTTGTAGATGACCGTGGCAGAGATCTCGCTGTGAGGATTCCGGACTAGGAAGTGTAGCGCATGGTCCCAGATCACCGGCTCCTGCTGCAGCAGGTCCGATTCCCCCTGCTTGACTTCGGGAATACTCCTGACCGTGGATCACTGCCGAAGCGCGCACTGCCACATACAGTCATGTCATGTGCCTGCATGTACAGCTTTAGTATAGACGTGCAGAGCAAGACAGGAATGGGAGGGCCCTTTTGCAGGCAAGCTTCATGTCCAAGACTTCCTGGATCTTGTCGGGCTTCATTCCCAGGCACTTACTAATAGAAGCTTTGTCGAACCTGGCACACAGGTTCCGAATCCACTTTTGTGCTTCACTTCGGCCGGATTCATCCACGTAATGGGGCTTGTAGGAGGACTTGGACCATAGCATTTCGTTCTCGAACTTCACCCCAAGGATCACTCCGTCTGCTGCGTCGCCACGGGGTACCAAGCCCTCACGGAGGCAGATCCGAAGGATTCCTGGAAGGGATGATTCGATGGAACTGAGCTGAAGGGCTGAAGGACCGGCCCGGCCTGCTGCCGGGCGCCGGTTGCTGAGGCACGTCGCGCAGCAGCGGAAGTTGCACTTCCTGCACTCCTTCGACGCGACATCTGCACAGCTTGACAAAGAGACGGGTGTGGGAGGCTCTGTTGGCAGAGTTGAAAGGCCGTGACGAACCTCACATTTGCACGGTATTGCTCATCGCCATAAAAGCAGCAAAACTAAAGCATCGTGGTGCTGGTGAAAGACTTGGGTAGTCGCCCCCCCCCCCCCCCCCCCCCGCCCTCTCCCCGGCTAGCCTGGCCCTGAGCCACGGGGGTTCCACCGCAGCAGAGCTGATCCCAGGTCTTGGCGAAGCTGCTGCCGCAGAGCGAGCAGGTCTTGGGCCGCAGTTTGCTGTGTCCCGCGACCTCCACGAGGCCACAGCGCTTGTTGCAGTTCACCGGGATCGCCTCGATGCGGTCCACCTCCGGCACCTCCCGGAAGAAGCATCCTGAGACTCGGACTCCGCAACAGGGGCTGATCGGAACAGGGGATTTATTGCAGAAGAACGTTTATGTTAATTTTGGGCTTCCCTGCTTAAGGCAAGGCTCGAAGCTTGATCTGTGGCGGGTTCTCTTCGGACCCGGACTCTGTCTTCAGTGTCCACCAGGTCTCCTTCTCCGACTTCTCCACAAAGTCCGCCACCGTGGGCCTCTTGCCCTTCTTCTCCACGTGCCCAAGCAGATCGTCGGATGTGACCATGTCACTGTCCCACACTTCGACGAAGATGTGCTGCTCCATGTGGTAGACCAAAAGATCGCAGGAATGGGCCGGGCCCCAAACAGGATCGAGGGTCTTTGCCTGACACTTTGTCTGGAAGCTGCAGTTCCCAATCTTGACGATGACATAAGGGTCCGAGGAGCCTTTACCCGTGAAGCCAAAATCGGCTGCAGGCAAATTTCGGGCCTCAAGGACCGCGAAATGCAGGGCTCCTATGGGCGCTGGCGATCGGAAGGTTTCCACTCGCATCTCTTCGTGTCGGTTGCTGGCGAGGCCGGCGATGTCCACGTAGACACGGCTTGGCACCACCAGGGTTTGGAAAATGGCATGGACGATCCCCTTCCTGAGCACGGCGATGGCCCAAACACACTAACCACAGCGCCCTAACAGCCCTAGCGGAGTCCCAACCCTCTCTCGGTTCTTCGGAAGGTGCCTTCGGAGACTAACATCCCCTAACATCCTCTAACTGACTCTAACTTCTAACCGACTCTAACTTCGCTCAGGATCCGAATGACGTCGACAGCCAGAGCCTTGCCCAAACCCGTCCAATTCCAGGTCAGTTCTGGTGGATCCGGAAAGGTGATGCTCATACCGCCAGTTATGGGCAACTCCCCCATCAGAGGGCAGAAGACCAAAAGGATGGGTCCGTTGAGTTTGATGTCTTTCATCCCGAGCTTCATCTTGCCGACGGTCACCTCAATCTCGGAGCCAGACGCGGTCCAGTGCATGTCGATCAGCAGCTCCACGCAGTTGTCCTTTGCACGCACCTTCATAGGTCCAAAGTTCGGAGACTGGTTTCCGAAGTTGCACTTGCTGAACTGGAAAGAGTTCATCATGGGAACCTCATCTTTGATCAGGGCCGTGATGTCCTCCTTGAGTAGCTTCTCGATGGCCCTTTCGATGTACTTCCACATCTTCTCAACGGCCACTGTCAGCCACTCTGCTTCCTTCAGCTTGCCTTCGTACACGAAGAAGCCGGTCTGCTGATGAAGTGATCGACCACCCATCACGGTGGTGCGCCGTGAGGCTCTACCCACTCCGTCCACATGCAGGGTGCCCATCTCCGACCCGTGCGGCTCCCGTGAGGGCCGTGAGGGCCCAGCACGGGGCGATGCCGCAGGCCGGGAGCCCGTCGAGCCCTCGGAGCCTAAGCCCAAACCGAGGTCCTGCAGATAGGCATCGCAACAGCTCTCGCGCGGCCTTTCCGGCGCCTCATGGCTGCAAGAGGCCGCCCCCATGGCATGGGGCTCATGGGGCCTCGGGCCCCCCCAAAAGCTCGAGCCACTCACCGCGAGAGAGAGTAACAGGGCCATAGCCTAGGAGTGTAGGGAGCGTTTGACCCCAGATACAAACTGCACGGGACGAGTTGCCGTCTGTCTCCAGATCCCTGGAGGGCCCAGCCCCGCCATCTTGCAAGCATGAGCTTCACCAACGGACCAGAAGTCTCGATCGGTCGGCCTGCCAAAGTGCTGCAGATCTGCAAGAAGAAGGCTGCAGCTTCTGTGCGGCCTGAAAGCCAGGGAACGACGCCCAAGCTGCGCATCTGCTCGTCGCGCTTGGACAGCATCTTCGCCAGACCTTCCTGGTGCCTCCGCGACACCTCCGCGAGCTCCGCGAGCCTGGAGCCTCTAAGGCTTTTTGTTTCTGAGTGTCCACTGAATTCTTCTCTTCCAAAAAACCTCCAAGACCTACTGCTGCCCCGGCACGGTGTTGTGAGAGCACGCCGCGGCGCCAAGCGCCAAGGAACCGGCGGAGCAGGATTTCCTGCAGTTGGGGGATGACGAGGATGTTCCTGGTGCCAAAAAGGCCCTCAGTCCCTGTCAGTCCCTGAAGGTCCTGCGCAGCCGCACCCCGAGCTTCCAGGAGTCGCCTCACGGCCACGGCACGGACGCAGTGCTAAGAAAACGGGGGGGCACGCTGCTTCTAAGGAGGCGCCTCTGCTCCCGCATCGCTTCAGGTGCCAGGCGCCAGCTGCGGAGGGCGAAGGCCAGCAGAAGGCGGCCCGAAACAGCGCTGGAGCCTTGCTACGCGCTCTCCTCGCCACTCTCAGCCAACCCTTCTTCCTCCAGAAAGGGACTGTGGTGGGGCCTGCATGGGATTTTGTGCTACTCCCGGCTGCACCGACTCGAAAGCCCAAACGGTCCCAAACTTTGGCCAGCGAACTTTCGAGGAAGCCGCGTAGGCCCCGCAGCCGCTCCGCCAGTCCCAAGAAGTTGTCTCCTGAGCGTTGTTCCTCCTTTCAGATGCCTTTTCCGCCCTGTTTTTTTTTCTTCCCGCCCTGTTGGGAAAGCGGGAAAGCCAGGTAGGCCGGTAGACATCTGGTATAGAACCTCTATGAACCTGCGGCTGACCTCGAGTTCGAAGTAGGGACATTGGGGCAAGCTCTGAAACACTAGCTGGCTGGGTTGAAACTCCTCGGAGGCTTTGTCAAAAAGTCGACGCGCAGTAGGAGTTTACGGATTGGTGCTTTGCTGGTTCCGTAGCCTTCCAACTCAAGCACTGGAGACCCTTTTCGGCATGCAAGCACTTACCAAAAAGACTTCTCTGGTTGTGTGAACAGTCACGCCCAAGTCTAAGGCACTTCGTGGCAAAGGGAACTTGTCTGAAAAAGCTTCCTGGAGTCAGCGTCCCATTCATGCTGTGCCTTAGCAGCGACTCCTCTCCTGCCCTGCCCTGCAGCTTGAGGTAGGCAGGCGGGGTATCTCGGCCCTCCAGGCTCGTTGTGAGAGGGAAAGGACGGTCTTCGACCGATCTTGGACCAATTCAGACTCTGTGCGTTTGGATCGAACACATGCAGCCCATTGAAACGGAATTCACTTGCCACCTTGGGCAGTGGGCCCACCCCCAACGAACAGGTAGCTCCAACGGACTCCAACGTTCTACTTCCTTATTCGAAGTTGCAGATATCAAGCACCCATGTTGGGGGTTCAGCCTCTCCGGTTACGGTTAGGGGGTGTTTGGAGTTTGGTCCATGCTGGGCCAGAGTTTGCAGACCAAGCCCTGCAAGCAGACTCTTTGAGGATGTGACTCCAAGTGCCAAATGCCTGCAAATCTTGTGATGTGTCGTTCTCTTCGTGCTTGCATGAGCAATCGGCAAACCACAACACCACAACACCACAAAAGCCTAAGCCTAGTCACAATGGAGGCCTCGCCCCGTAGGCCACGAGGCTAAGACCAGGACGCAAGAGAAAAATTACTTCGACTGGCGATGACCGAGGCCCCACTTTGGTGGCCCTTACTCAAGGCACAAGAGACCGAAAGCTTTCGTTGGCCCAGTCTCCCCCGTCTCCTTCAGTCTCCTTAAGTCATCTCAAGTGCCTTGGCCCATTTCATGCTCGCCAGTCCCGGCATTACCGAGGGACCAGCCGCACGAAATTGCCCCAGATTCTGATTGGGACACGTCGCAAAAAGTGTAAGAGGACGCAACTCGGCGTCGGCCTTTATGCCAGAGAATGATTCAATGTAAAAAAAGTGTGCATTTCATCCGTCAGAGTTCAAAGATCCACCGACCTTCCTTCCAAGAAGCCGATACATAGCAGGAACCTCGGCCGCAGTTACGTAGCAAACAAAGGCACACGAATCCATTTCACAACTCCTCAACCCTAGGCCAAAGCTGGCCAGGTGGCTCTGATCTGCACGTTGGGGAGCCACGAATTGTGAAACGGGAGGCCCCCTGAGATGCTGTGGTGTAGGGATTGAGGGGGAAAAAAAAAAGCAGGTCCGCTTTTCTTGTCACACATCTTTGCCGGGTTTCTGATTACTGGTTGTGCTTGACGAAGGATGGGAAGCAGGCTGCTCAATCGCGGTCCTTGTTCTCAGGACTCAGACGCAGGATCCGCATTCCTAGTTCGACCTCCCCTGGGACAGGCGCCCAGGCTCCGGAGCAGGAGGGAAGAAAACCTGAGAGGCGGCTCGTCACATCCAAGCACGATGGAGTACTCCACATGCGTTCCAAAATCTCACTCAAGCCAGGTTGAGCTCGAAGCATTCTCCGTATTCACTGCTCCGTGAGTGCTTGTGGACTCTGTCTTGCCCCGCTTCTTCTCAGCCTTCGCCTTGCTCCTTAGACACGGCCAAGGCACAGTCATTCTATTAGCCTAGCCCAGCCATTACGACCACAAGTTGTACAGGGAAACATCCTGACCTTTCTGCAGAAGTCATGCAAACACAGCAGCCGACTTAGTACGGAGCAGCAGGTATCTTCCTAGTGATTGGCGCAGAGTCGAAGGCGGGATTGAACAGAAAGATTGATAAAGTCAACCATACACACTGCCGAATGTTACAGTATGCAGTTGAGACAAAATCATCATCAAATTGCCTGTTAGTGTCGAATCTATAACATATGATATGCAGTGTCCGGCCCTGATACATACATAAATGCACACAGAAATTACATCTGGACAAGACTGTACTCGCATGTGTCCATGCCTGTGAGCATGGAAGGACGTATGAACGCATATCCTGCAACGCCGCAATAAAAAAAAGTATTCACATACTGGGACATTTGCAATTGTGTGGCGGGGTTGGAGTGAAAATAACATGGAAAGAGCTCGGCAGTGAACTCTTTGCAGCGTTGCGGCTCAGTCTTCAAAGCTTCCCTCTGTTGCTGGACCTCGTCCTGGCGGACTCTTCTAAAGCAGAAGTTAGCCGAACCAGGACCTCCACTGCAAAGCGGTCCACATGTCCTCCGTTAAGAAGGAGGCCACTGCGAAGTCAAAGGAAACCTCTCTTTCGTCTATGAAGATGCGCGGGAGCTTGCTGCCCTCCGAGCCCTGCGCAGGACAAGAGTCTTCGAAACTTACGCCCAAAAAGGCCTGAAGCTCAAGTCCCAGTCCCAACTTACCGCAGGCCCTCGCCTTCTTCCCTTTGGCACAGAAAGTCGCCAGGTTTGCTACGAGACCCTGGTAGGCTGCCTGTGCATGAGCGCGGCTAACGTTAGTAACCTCCAGGGCCGCTCCAAGAGTCTCTGACGAGGCGCCGATTGCACTTTTGTGATGTAACTCTTGTCGACGAGCATTGCACCCGCTGCGTCTCTGCAAATCTGATGGCTTGAGAAATTGATGATGACCAGGCGAGGCCATGGCAAATACACGAAATCGAAGGGGCGCCGGCCACCTTGCAGCAAGACGGCCAAACCAGTAATGCGTGCCTATTTGCAGATTCATGCAGATTCCGCTAGTTCACATGGCTGGACTGGCTGGACTAGCACCGTGACATGTTCATTCAAGCTTGGGGTGTATGTAGTCAGAAGGATACCTAGGACAAAGCATCAGGACAAGGCTGTGAGTAAACCAGGGGGGAGACTTGCGCAGCATCCCCCAAAAGCTCATGGGCTGCTTCGAGTCCCCGGAATCAAACTGTAAGAACGAGTCGGTGAAGCCATTTTTCGTTGACATGGGCAAAGTCTCGAAAGAAGCCCCATTGTTGTAGCCAGTCTTGCCCTGCCCTGAATCGCGGAGTTTCAGCCGTGTCGCCGAAGCCGCACACAGATGCCATGTGCTGCAGGAACTCATCGCTGGTGACCGGCCTTAGGGAACTTTAGACCAAAGGAAGGTTGGGGTATCCGACTACAGCGGGCAGCGCACCTGGCCGTCCGGAACAGGAGCGTGGTGGTTCCCACATCTAGCGATGGCATCATGTTTGCGAGTGGGAGGGGCTCGCACTAACTTACCTAGCCAGGAGAAACCGCAGAAGGCTTGCGCTTACGGCTTGTGATAGCAACGTGCATGAGTCGGACATTGCTGCAACGAGCACCCACAACGTCTGGATGCGAGCCAAAATGTTCGCATCAGGAAATTTCGCGTCCACGCAGAGGCCCAGGCACAGAAACTGAATCTCGTCGGTCGGCAGACGCCCCCGAAAGGCTTCTAAGCAGGGCTTCTACAAGTTGCGGCCGAAGCCTCGCCGCGCAAGCAGGCACTGAGTTCGCCAGGCATGGAAGCTGCTTGGCAAAGACCCCTCCTGGTTGCAGAGGCCGCAGGTACAAGCACAGCTCTGCAAAAAGGCCCAAGGAAAGGCCCAGTTTTTCCTCCACGTAGCGCGGGAGGCCCAGAGCTTTCCTGCAGCGCCTCTGCCCGGCGTGCCTCACTCTGCAAAGCATGCTGCAAAGCACTGCCTACCGTGGAAACCCCGCACACAGGTGAGGGCACGCAGGGCCGGCCTGCAGGCAAGCATTCTTGTCTGGCACACGACCATACCATACGACATTCGCCGCGCGAGTGCGTACGTCACCCATGTATGTGTACGCATGTAGGCGTGCAGTGTATGCGTGATTGCATGCGTGCGTGCGTGAGTGCATGCATGGCAGCCGTGCCGGTTTTGAGTCGAGGCCCTGGCCAAGACTTCCAGCCACGCCAGCACCACGTGAGCGCATCTGTCCCACCTGCCAGTAGGCGGAAAACACAAGAGGCCCAAGGCCACAAGCCAGCGTTGGGGGGCGCGCCTTGCAAGAAGTTCACGCAATCCCGTTGACCTCACGTTTCAGCCAATCTCAGATCTTCATGCACTGCGTGCAACCGTACGAGCAGCAGGCTAGCAATGAATTTACCGAATATACATATACACATGTGTGCACGAGTGTGCAATTAAGCCAAACAGAAAAAGCTGTGAGGAAAAGAAAGCTCTGACTATGTGTGTATGTTTGCGTACATGATCCGATGGATCATTGGATGGCGTGATGGCCGCATGCTTGGATGGATGGATGGATGGATGGATGGATGGATGGACGGACGGACGGACCGAATTTTTCTATCTATCTGTCTGTCTATCCACCCATCTACGTATCTACCTATCTGTGTCTGTCCATCTATCCAACGTGCTGTCAATCTGTCGCTACTATCCATCCATCTATCTGCCCCTCTATCTGTCTGTCCATCTATCTCTCTCTCTGTCTATCTATCTATCTATCTATCTATCTATCTATCCATCTATCTGCCTGTCTGTCTGTCTGTCTGTCTCTGTCGGTCTGTCTGCCTGCCTGCCTGCCTGCCTGCCTGTCTTCTATCTCTACATATCTATCTCCCTGCCAACCAACCTAGTCTATCCATCTATTATTATTCTTCTATCTACCTATCTATCTGCCAGTAATAAGATGACGATGATACATAGATATGGGTAGATAATCGGTAGATAGGTAGATGGACAGACAGACCGAAAGATCGACAGATCGACAGATAGATGGATCGATGGATTGATAGTCGGATAGTTGGACAGGCGGATAGATCGGCAGATCGATAGACAGACAGATCGATCGATAGGTATGCAAATCGCGTGAGCGCGACCACGCGCTGCTGCAATCTTCTCTCTCGCTCCGTCTCGCCCTACCACTATGCCATATGGAATGCCAAGAGCGCACGACGTGACGCTCTGTAGCACTGTAGCTGACCATTCCACAACGGGATGGAACAGTTGCAGCAAAGCAGGAACGGTACTCACGCGACTGGAACTCCATTTCTCCGAGAAGCAGATCTTCTGGTGTAGTCGGCTTCGCCAGAGGTTCCAGCAGTGCCGCAGGGTTGCCGTGGACTGCCAAGAAATACTGCTTTCGAGAGCTGCGAGAAAGCGAGAGACGGAGAGAGGGCAGAGGGAAAGAGAAGGTACAGGATGGCAGACAAGCTTGGAATCCTTTCTCGGATTCAGGTTGCCATTGCATGAGATGCACATTCCTTCAAAATCCACTCGCATCACCAACTTCTTGCAAAGCTGGCGACCGACATGATTGCCCCTGGCACGGCACGTGGAAGGCGCCAGCCAAGGCAGAACACTGATTGGATAATCATTCCTCTGGAGGAGGACTTGGTCTCTTGATGGGCTCAGACATTTTCCCCTGCAAGCTGGTGTTTAGGAAGCACGGGCGCACCAGCACGGCAGCCTGCGAGAGAAGGCTGGTGTAAACCAACTGCACGATGCGAAGACGCCAATGACGTTCCCGACTTAACCTGCCAAGGCAACTCTTGTCAGTTTCTGGGGGTCTCCTCCTCGGAAGCACTTGTGAGTATAGTCCCAGGGAAGGCGGATGGAGGATCAAAAAACAATTT